CGGTTTAATGCATAAATCTCCCTCTTTTTATTCACATTAATTGCATACAATTTTTTCAGATTTATTATGTTTGTTCTAGTTTAGCAGCAGTTCAATTATAAGCCCCGTGAAGCCATAAATGTCATTAACAAAATTAAATAGTCACAAATCACAGGATCAAGCTATCCATAAATTGTGAAACATCTTTAACAAGACAAAAACGCTTTGATTAAAATTTGGCCAGAGGGGATCAACAGCATAAATAAAACATTATCTATTCAGCTGCGAGCATAAATCAGTTTTAATCGTTTTAAGGCTCACCATTTATCATAAACTAATTTCATACTTCGAACCTTCTTGAACAGAAAACACTGAAGCCATACAAGTTATTAAAGTTTAAGCTCATTAAGATGTATTTTAACTTTTGATGAGCTTCATCAGCTCGCCACAACTCATCGCAAACCGAATTAAATTCTCCGAAATCAGTCAGAAATCGTTCCACTTTTGAAGACTGTCGTAATTATCAGCACACAACCTGGATATACAGAAGTACACTCCCAGATAAACATACTCGTGTGCATATATATATCTACCTCCTCCTGCCTGTTCATCCACACCTGAGCCCCCTCTTGAGATCCCCCTTCGTCCCCCCTCGACCGGAAACAAGTTCTCGGCGCTGGAATCTGCTATCCATTGGTAACAATTTCAATATTTCCACCGACAAATAAACAGCAAATGCAAATGCAAATGCAAAGCGCCAGCAACAACAGCAGCGAGTCCTGGGCAAAAAGGAAATTTATGCATATTTAATAACAACATGGCAGGAGGAACAGGCAACTGGAACAGGCAACAGGAACAAGGATATGGAGACGGAGTCCAGCTACAAAATACAAGGCATTTCTCACGCATAAATGCACCCGACGAGATGAGAAATGCAGAAAAGTATGGCGGTAAAATGGGGATTTCCGGGCAGGGGGCCTAACTGGGGGATACTGAGGGGGGATTCAGGATAAGCGGGATAGGGAAAGGGGGAGGGGAATGTGGCGGCCCAAATGAAATAAAAGCAGGAGCAACAGGGGAGTTGAAACATTTTTGCTAGCAAAATAGTTTTCGCAAATAGTTGATTCCCAAAAAAAACGAACAGGCAAATATTGTCCATGCACACATATTTATTCATGTTCATATTCATGCTCATGCTCGTATATATATATATACATATCTATATGTACATAGCAGACCTTGTGGCATATTGTCCGAGTGGGCGGGGCGGGCGTGGCAGAGTCAGCGAACTGGACGCTAATCAAACTTTTTAATATGCCATGCATGCAACGTGCGGCGACTTTTGTTTTGACACACCGCAAAGTGGGCGGCGAACAGGGGGTGGGCGGGGCAAGTCGGTCGGGCAATATGAGATATGTTTCATATGTGCATAATGCCCGGGTTATTAGATGGCATGTGTGGCCAAGATGCTGGCGGAGAGCAGATTTAGTTTGAATGTCTTGGCTACATCTGCGTTTTATGTGCTCGTCTTTTCAGGCGAAGGTACACAGAGCGAAAAAGTTTCCACTACAGAAAGGGTTAAATATAAAAAGAGGTGCTAATGAACGTCTTAATAATATTGTATAAAATTCTTTACTGGTAAGCAACATTAGCTAAGTAAAGCATTACGTACTTTGTATTTACTATTCATATTCATATTCCTATTCTTTATGGAATTAAGGTTACTTTACTGATTTGCCTCGGTGCTTGCCAGTAACTTGGGGGCTGGATCGGAAGTGGATAAGGCCGGGAATAATGGCAGAGCAACTGCCTCCGCGGCGAAGCAGGCAGAGAAGTGTGCTGAATGGGAGGTCAGCTGAAAATGCATCATCATGGAATGGAATCAAGTGCATTTATTTAGCTCAGACTCAGAGGAGGATTTAGGCAGCTATAACTGCCCCTCCAAAACACGCCCCCTTCAACGGCTGCCATGTGAGTGGGCGGTCGGAGGGGTCGGCGAGGGGGCGTGGCAAGATGAATGATGCAGGCGAACGCCGCCGTATGTTACACAGTTTCGACTTCCATTTAGCTGCCAGTTTAAATACGAGTACACACGGGACGGGCCAAAAATGCTGGGCCTTTGTTCGAGGCGAGTCAAGGATATGAAAAGGATGCTCGGGAGGTGGCGCAGGATTTTTTATGACCCCATCCTGGCGAGGCGAGGACTTTCAATGGCTGCGGAGTAGTGACTTTATGCCTGATGGATGGACAGCTCCGAAGAAGTGAAATGTGGCTTAGGCCCTGAGAAGCTCTGAATTGCAGCAACATCAAATTGAAACTCGAGCTGAGGGTCCAAAGTATAAAAGAATTCACTGAAAAGCTTATGCAAGTTGCCTGGAAATCTGGAGAATATTATAGGTTCCTCAAACAGATTAATAGTTTTGAATTCATAACTAGTTCTTATTAGTTTGTGCGATGACAATCGTGATCAGTTTCCCAAAATAAACACTGGACATTTATGGCTCGCTTGCTCAGAGTAAACTATTTTTCACATCGTCTCCTTTCGGTTTGCCCGACTTTTATCTCCAGTGACCTCCGAGAAGAAATTGTAAACAAAATTTTCGCCATTAACAAAATGAAATCAAGAATATTTTCATGAAGACAGAGCTGAACCGAACCGAACCGAAATGCTGGCATGTGTGAGCCATAAAATGGTTGTCTCTCGCTGGGAAAATGTGTGCTCGTACTCGTATTTTCGTGGACTGGCGGGAAACATTTCGAGAATTATGGAAGGAGAACGGCAATCCGAGTCGACAGAAAACAGCAAACAGAAAACAAAAGCAAGTGCACTAGCATGTGCTTCTAGCGGAGAACAAGAGCAACTTTAGACACATGCAGTAATAAATGAAACAAATTAATTAAAAGTGTGCAACGGGTCGGCTGCAAAATAACGAATAGCGATTCGCACTGGCAAGTTGCACTCTTCTGCTCTTTTCTGGGATTTCTGGGATTTCTGGGCTTTCAGATTTTTCTATTGTTGCGTTGTGTGTGCGGATGCCGTCGCTCCTGAGTCATGATAAATTATGCAGCCATCACCTTATTTAAAATGAAGATTAATTTAAGTGCTGCCAAACGCTGTCGGCTGTTCCCCCCCGTTTTTCAGCCAGGACTTCTTTCACCCATTTGAGAAATTGTTGTGTGGCGAGCCAAACAAATGGAAAAGGATGCGATCCTGCGAGTGAGATTTGCAAGTGGATGAGGATTCCCGGGGGAGTGGATGGAATGCAAATCAGATGGAATATTTAACCGCAAGGAATCGCTGCTTTCTCAGAGTTTCGCTTTCAAATGCGATATGTGAGTTCATTTAATTATTTAACTGCCCGAGGAATGTTTCTATTTTCAAAACATTTATGTGCCAATAAAAGATTGTTAATTATTAGCATATGCTTAGAGAAAAAACCTTAATTTATGTGGTATCTACAAATGTTTATGTCACATAATTTTATAGTAAATAGAAGATGCCTTTGGCTGCTGTCAAGGAACTCCATTTATGCATTTATGCAGTTAAGCCATTGAACCGTCCCAATTGAATTTTAATTTTCTATAATTATTTTAGTATTTTATATTCATGTTATTTGGTCACTGCACTTATCACTTCGAGAGCGTTTCGCCTAAAGTCCGTAAAATTTAATTTTCCCCGAAATAATGAGTCCATTTATTTCGGAACTCCCAACTCGTTGACATCTGCAGTAATTGGTTTCAACCATTTTCGTTGGGAGAGCGGTGTTTGCGTCTGTCAGACTTTAAAAAGTGCCACCCATTGGTACAGATAAATACTCTTTAAGTGAATAAGTATAAAGTACTATTTAAATCAGTTACTAATGAGCATACTCATGAGATAAACCTTCAAAAAACAATCCGCGCATAATATTCCCCATTGAGTGTCATTTGGAGCTTTAAAGCCCCGTGAAATCGATTTGTTGAATGGCTCCACACTCGTTGACACGGGAAGTGAGTGGCTTCGCCTATTCCCCCGACCAGGATGCATTTTGCACCTGCCAGTCCTGTGGAAGTCCCCCTCCTGCCTTCCCCTCCCCGCGAATCAGCACATCCCGGCCATCAAAAGCGGCTCACCCCCGTGGAAATTGAATTCTCGGTAAATACCACGAAAATCTCGCTCCGTCTGTCTGTCCGGATATCTTGCCTCCTCCAGCGGAGACTGTTTTTCTGTCTGATAACTTGCCGCCGGCTCCCGCAGCTGCAGCTGGTGCAATTCGGTTGCCAGGATGCGAAATTCGAGGTTCGAGGATGTTGCTTCGGTTTGGGACATGCCACGGCCTACATAAATATGCATATGCTCCGCAAACATTTGCCAACCTACATGCCACGGGAGCGGAGTGACTGTGGAGTGACTGCGGAGTGGCTGCGGAGTGGCGGGCCCCGAAATTCATGCGAGAACTGCTGACATTTTCGAAAATAAATGCGACGTCAGAAATATTGCACATGCATGCAAATACGCGCCAGGCAGCGTGATAAATACACAAATCCCAGTCAGCTTTCGCCGGTTAGACATCCGTTTAATTGAGTCAACATAGCGTGGCGTCGCTGAAGATGCGGATTCCCGGCTCCCAAGGGGCGAAGAAAGGGGAGAAAGTGGAGAAAGGGAGAGGGGAAAGGGGAAAGAGCGCGAAGAAAGGGAGGCGTCAAATTAACGCTGTCATCTTTTCGCAGCGCACAGAAAACATTAAAAACTAATTTATGGATTTGCAAGCCAACTCCCGCGTTGATTTATGTTTGCAGTTCAAGTCGGGCAAGAATGATTATTAGTATATTCCTCCTCGAGGCAGATGAATTCTATAAAACTTTTCTAATTTATTGAGTTTTAATTAAGACAAACACTTTAATCTAGGTCACTTTTCCATGCAAGAAATTCTTCTAGAGTTCTATTCACTATGTTTTTTTCTCCATTCTTTTTTTTTCCCTTGTGAAAATTATAATTATTTGGCATCCCAATGAAGATCAACCACCTGGGGGGTACTTACAGAGTTTGGGTATCCTGTGGCACCTTGGGCACGGCGGAGAGCTTGGCGCGGATGCAGCGCACGGTTCGCTCCACGCAGCTGCATCCTGAAGGGCAGTAGGCGGCCTTGGCTCCGCCGGAGAGCAGGAGAAGCAGGCCGAAGAGCTGCAGCAGGAGCAGCGGAACTCGCATTTCGAGGCGGAACACCACGCACTTCTCACCAGATGGATGTTCCTTCAAGAACTGTTCGAGGCGAAACAAATCGCGGCGATAAGCGCGTTCCGCGGGCGGAAGTTCCAAGCTAGAACCACTCGTTTATCACTTGGTTGGTTGGTTGGCGGTTGGCGGTGTTTATCACTGGAAGCGGTGCTCGAACACTGCGCAAGTGCGGCTTACATGTCGCCTAGGCTTTGCCTGCTACACAGAGAGGAAAATAGTACTTCTTTATTCTCATTAGGGCTTGATTTAATTACTGTTCAGTTCGGACTTGATCATAACAATTTATAGCTGAATATTTATGGTGAAAAAAGTATAATTTATGTTCAAATTGTTATGATTTTCAGAACTGAACTCGTAATTAATATCGCCAATGCTCTAGAGCTACAGAAGTCACACGGAAAAGTAAAACCGAACTGTACCCGAACAATCAGATAATTTCTCCCAGTGCTTCCGCGAATTGTTTAATTTTAGAACGTTTGCGTATAAAAAGCGACTGCTGAACCTCCGAACTGAACTGAACTGAACTGCACGCGCCAAATGCCGACGAGCATCTGAGCGCCGAACAGAACACAGCACTGAAAGGCGGACCGTGGAGCCGAGTCCCGAGTTGCACATGCAGCGCCGTCGACGCCAGCAGAGGACCTCGGCAGAGGCAGAGGCAGAGGCAGAGGACTCCGTGCCGGATGCAGACTGTGATAACATTCTGCTGGGGCCCTGCGTTCTCAAGAGTTCTCGATACTCGTATTAGTTGGCCAGCGTGTGGCTGGAGCTGAAGCCTACGGAGGATGGATGACTCTATATCCACTATATCCACTTCATAGCGCCGCATCAAGGCCGAAGCACTCGGGCTGCACCGGCATTTTCGATGTATTTTCAATGCGGACGCAAAGCGAGCAAAACAAAACACAAAACACAGAACACAACACACAACAAGCATACGCCACGTTGCACTCGCCAGCATCAAATGCTCTGCCAGCCTCATTTTTAATGCATGAGTGGGAGGCAGTGGCACCAGGACAGGCACACTCCATTTGCTCCACCCTCCAAGGGGGAACCCCCAAAGGGGGAGGGGGCTTCGATGCGAAACTGCTCGCTTAAGCGGTCGGTGATAAGACGCGAAATCAAATTTAAAAGCTATCAATTTGATATTAGTTCGGGGACCGGCGAGAAGCCTTTGGGGGAAGCTCCAGCGCGTGCCAGAATGCAGAAAGCGGAGTTTCCTTTTTGTTTTCCAGCAGGATTAACCACTGAGGGAAAATTCAATCATTCTATATGTTAATATTATAAGATACAAATAAATCAATCGCTTGACTACAAGTCCCAGAGAAAATAAGATAATCATCCCCATTTAAAGTACAACAAATAAAATAAAAGTAAGTTAGCTATGTGAGTGCTGCTTTCTCTCAGTGTAGCCTATTTGTTTTTGCCCGACATATGCTGCAGCTCATAAAATTTCTCCGTTTTGCTGCAGTTTTCATTTTGCCTCCTTTTTCGGCAGCACTTTTTCGGTTAGCTGTCGAAGTTTTGAAATCAATTTGCAGATGATTTATTATGTTCCAAGGGAGGAGGGCGACGGGTCGGGGGGTGATTCGGGGAGGCGATGGGGAGGCTGTGCATACGACATCGCAAATGGAAGCCACTGACGTTGATGAATGCCGCTGTGTATTGTTTTGCTGTCAGGTTCGATCATATTTCTGTTTCGGGGCATCGCATTCCAGGTGAGGCGGAAAATTTGCAAGTTATGCGACAGTTTTATGCTCCCATTTTTTGATTGGCGAGAGCAAAGGAAGCGAATCCAGCACAAATCTATTCGTAAATTGATGACACGTCGCGGGAAATAGACTTTCCCGCGGGTAATTTGCCAGTTGAACAGGGGTGGTAAGTTTACTGTAAGATTATTGGATGTTTTATATCAGTACTAATTTGTTTTTATCTTCGAGCCATTTTTAAAAAGTAACCGCTTTGGCAAAACAATGCTGCCCATTCGATGTTAATTGTTATGGGTAACACTCTTTCGCAGTTAGCCATTAGCACCACTCTCTCGCCTGGGCACCACTCTCTCTCTTAAACACAGCTGTTTATTATCACGGTTATCGATAACACAAAACAATCTAAGATCTAAAAGTTAAACAACAAATAAGCAACCTTTAACTTAAAATTTCCAACTAATAAAGTTGTTATTATTGAGTGATTGCTTTATTTAAGTCCCAAAAAGTTATAGTGTTAATTTTCCAGCGGTGCTTACAACGCGCGTTGACCCACACTGCCCAAGTGAACATATGTTTTTTGCCACCCTCAACAAGAATTTGCTTTCCTAAATAGAAACTGCGATAGAAAGCGCTGCGAATTCGGCCAAAAACTGGGATGTTATAGCCGCTATATCTGATATGTCCAAGCGCAACAACATTACCTACGTTAAGCCGCAGGAACCAAGTTTTTTGGCCAAGTTGAAGGCGGAAATCGGCTACAAAGAAGGACCCAGCGTCGAGACCAAGGTGAGTTTTCGGTCTTATGGGCTGTGTAATCCGGGGAATTCTAATGCGAATTTCTCGGGGCCTTACTCCATAAATAGCGCCAGCGGTTGGAGCCGGAAGACTACGATTCCGGGGAGGATTCCCGCCCGGATAGAGAGGACGAACAGCCGCAAGTTGTGGTCCTCAGGCCTGGAGATCTGTCCGCCGAAGAGGCCAAAACGGAGAAACAGTTGGCCGCCAAAGGTCGGTACATACATACATACATATATATAATACAAACTTACACGCTCGCACACACACACACAAAGAAAAGCAGCCAGCGGCGGCAGTTGCACGTGTGTGCGTAGGTAGGATGTTGTAGTTTGTCTTTCAGTTTAACTTTTCAGTCAGAATCGAGCGGTTGTCTTCTTCTGCCCAGCGTTACATATATCTAATATATATATATAAAAGTTTTTATATATGTGTGCGCGCGTGTGTTGGTGCATTTCTGCCAATGAAAAACTAACGGTAGTGCAAAAAGATCCGTTTGTTGGAGATTTGTGGGCCAGAAAGTATGTGTAATATGTGGACTTTTAGGGCAGTATCAATTTTTAAGTCTGATGTTGCCATGATTATCTTTGTGAATTTCTGTCCTGAAGATTCCCTTTTGCCCAGCGGAGCACCCCTTACACACACACACACATACCCATGCTAGTAGCCGACGAGGCATACACACTGACATTTTCATTGGGGGCTCCGCTAAAGCAAAGCATGTGATAAAAATCGTTGGCAAAGCGGGCGGGCCGATAAAGCAGCCGGCAAAGAAGTTAACAACAGCAGCTGCCGCTTGCTTTGTCCACCTCTTCCGCTTCCCCCGCTGCTCCCCTCTTGGAAGAGCGCAGAAAATCGGGTAAAAACAACGTGGGCAAGAACGAACGGATGAAGGGGCGGCCAAAGCGGAGAGACAATGATGAACGAAGCAGGCGAGCAAAGAGAAGTGAAAGAGCGGGCCAAAGTAGCTTGGCAACGTGGTGGAGGCGGCGGAGGAGGCGGGACTGGGATGGGGTGGCAAGAGGATGTTGGACAGGGGGTGCCGGGGGCGGGTTGCGAATCAGTAGGTGGAGCAGGAGGGAAGAGGAGGCGGTTGGAGGGGAAAGAGAGGACCGAGAAAAACATCTTGTGGGTGCTGCTTGGAAAGTGATGGTAACCGGGATAGGGGGTTGTAGGTGGTCTGTTCTGATTTTCCCCTCTGCGTAAGCTGCAATTCTTCAAACCCAGATACATTTCCGATCCAATAATCAGTTTGAACCTATAGACCTCCTTGATTGTAGAAGCTTTTACGCACTTGACAAATAAAAATTATTGGTTTCAAATCAATACATTTTCGTGAATTATATTAAATGACCATTGTTGCCCATGCTAATAATTAATTTCCCCTTTTTATACATTCCCAGAATTAGCCGAAAAGCGAGCGGATCTGACTCAACCAATAGTTTTCAAGCAGCGTGTCAAGCAGCCCCACATCGAAGAAGATAAGTCCCAATCCGGCAGCAAATCTGAGAAATCCGGTAGAAAATCTGAGAAATCGAAGAGCAAGAAATCCAAGGCGACCACCAGCAAGCTGTCCTTCAACGAGGACGAAGAGGACGAGACGGCGGACAATTGAAGATCAGATCTGGTTATTCGGCAGTAACTTCTTATAGCCAAGTCAACCCGCAGCGAATGATTAAGGTGAGAAATTAGGCCAGAAACTGTAAATGGTTATTAACTTAGGCTTGGGTTCTTTTTGTTGTCATGTGAATTTTGTAGGTTAAATATCGAGTTGTGTATAAAATGTGGTAGCAGAAGCGAGGTCAGAGTGAAGCAGCCATTATGATAATCATAACTAGAAAGATTGCGAGTTTGGCAATAATTTTCTTATTTAATTCTCTTTCATCATTTTCATTTAAAGCTTAAACAATGTTTTACCATATTTGTCAAACAACGTTTTTATAATTTAATTTAAGTATAACTGTTTACGTGTCCTTTATATAAATTATTTTGAAAACTGTATAAGTCGTGAGTCATAGAAATTTGCAAAGCAATATACATATGTATAAGATAATCACGCCAAAATTGTTCGTATCCAAGACGGTCTCTCATCTTATGGATTTTAATAAAATCAGTACAATTCTCTCTAAATAGGACTTCAAATCCCATTTTTGTATGTGTAAGGTTTATTTAAATAATTTTCTATTATTTGTAAACTTCTATACTTACTTTATATTGCAATTCCAAAATAAAACTTCAAATTAATTAATTCTATTAATTCTAAAAAAAATTTTGATGGAAATCCATTCTGGACAAAATTAACTTGCTAGATACGTGTACATACTTAACAACTCAATTTCATTATTATTATTAAACCTTATTTTAAAAGTACCTCGTTATCTTAAACTGTGATCTTATTGAAATACCTAGGATGATTCTCAAATAGATTTCAAACCCGAATTCTAAAGAGGAATTTCTCTTTAGCTTTGCAATCTGTAATTTTAACTGGCTAATTTACTTGATATCGGAAAAGGTCACGTGTATGTATAACATAAAGTGCGGCGGTAGTTTGGTAATGGGTTTCTAGGTTTGGGTCGTTAGTGGGTCCTCCGATGGTGAATGATGGCGATTTCTTGGGTTTGGGATTGGGATTAGGTTTAGATGACCGCATACTGGACTTTTTACCCCGTTACCCTTCGACCTCAACAAAGTTGATGATGATGGTGATCACGGGGGTGGGAAGGGGGATGGAAAATGCGCCACAAGCGGGTTACTTTCAAATTTTGTACTTGCATATAGACCAAATCGCACAGACACACACACACACATTCAGGGCCTTACATACGGACATACATATTTAGTTGTATGTATACATATAGATAGGTTTGAACGGTTGTATATATCCCGGGAGCCGTGGGTGCGAAAGAGAGGGGCAGCGTAATCTGAAATAAGTTGGAGGAGAAAGAAGAAGCATCAGCAAAAGTATCGTGATGAGTATACAGTTTAAGACGCTAGTATGTGTTGGTGTGTGTTTAGGGGGGCAGCGGGGGAGCTGCAACTGACCATATTCATTCGCGCTTCTAAATGATATAAAATATTTTTCGCGCGCTCCGTTTGAATATCTGCACATGTCGAATCACATAAATCCATCAAAGTAAAACCGGCGACAGCGATGCCGTTTCAGTTTTGTTTTGTTCATTTCGTTCGTGGCGCGCGTACAATTGTCGAATTTGTTTTCCCTCCCATTCCACGCTATTCCATTCATGCACACAAACGCACACATAGTGGCACATGTGTGCGGGCCATGCGCCTCACACGGTAATTCGCTATTTTAGAGAGGCGTTTAAAAGAGAGTGAGCTCTCTTATTAGCCGGCAAGTAGCTGAAAAGATTGTGCGTCTTCAAAGGAAAGAAAAATAGGGAAAAATATAGTAGTCGAGTATGTAATAAATTGGCAATTTAGCACTGGCTCTTTGGCAATGGCACGTTATCGATGACCGATATCAGATAGTCGATTGGCACGCTGCAACCCTGAGCGCGCCCGGCTGTTTGTTGCAACTCTGTTTTTGCTTTTTCCGCCTCACACATTTCCAGTTTGCCTTGTCTGCTTGTTCGTTCGCTTGTCTCTTGTGTCTCCGCCTTCGGCGTTCTTTCCACTCAGTTTTTTTTTCAAAAAAAAGCCCCACGCGAATTTTTCGGATTTTCCCTGGTTTTTTTCGCCACAAAAACGATCCTTGATTTTTGAAAGACATTTGTTTATTGTGATCAAGGGAGCAAAAGGGAGGCGAAACAAAACAACAACCTGCCGATTGCGAGGGGAAATATGTAAATGTAAGTGCGGCAAAAATCAAACAGTGTGAATGGCTGCTGAAATTAGTATTAAAAAAACATAGTTTTGCTTAACCAATTTATATATAAAAAGTAAGGTGAGATCCAACCATCATAGAAGCAGAAAAACACACACGAAAGCAAGCGCCTCACACACACACATACATGGACAAACACTAGCGCAAAAACACGCTCCTGTACCAAAAAAGTACAACAACAAAAAGTATACTCCACCACGCCGTCAGTCAAGCAACAACAAAAACAACTAAAAAAAGCTAAAGCCAAACGTCGTCATCCGTGCCGCCCCCCGCCCGCCCTTCCGCCCCTTTCCCTCGCTTACAAACATATATACATATGTCGTTGTATATATAGATTGTATATATATGTGCGAGCGGCTTGTGTGCGTTTGGGTGTCTGTATGTATGTATGTCAATCGTTTTGTTGGCTGTGCTCGGTAACTGTTCGTTTGTACATACAAACATTTCATATAAACATATAAATATATGTTTTTAATATATGTATGTAACTGCGTTTGTTTATGCACAAGTATATAAATTACATATATAAATAACTCCTTGGCCCTGGTTCGTTTTTCTCGCAGTGTAAGGCCAATTTACATACTTACATTACATATTAAATTGTATTTTAGTTTTAATCCAATATGGCAGCCATTTTGTATCAAACCATTCTTTCAACTTCCCCCGCTTCTCGGTGTTTCCTCTTGCCGTTTTGCGTCCGCCTTTTCTTAAATTCACCTTTTTAATTCACCTAGATTTTCAAATATTTTTCGGTGATTGTTAATTTTTTCGCCACTTCTCTTTGCCCCCCGTCTTCATTTACCTCCTCTTTCTGCAGTTTTAGCTCTTTTTATTTTTACTCTTTGCCCGCTGCGTTTTGTGCTGCTCATTCATTGCTTTTTGATACTTTAGTTTTCTTTTACGTGCCAATTTTTCCGGTTGGTCTAAAGAAGCTCGCCCATACATTTTTCAAGTAATGATCCCTAATCAACTTTATGGTTTTTCTAAACTCCCAAATTATCTCTTGCAGAAACAAAAACAGCTGGAAGATAAACTGACTTGGGCACATTCCACGGAGCAGGGAACAGACCTCAAATGACTGAAGTCGATGTCGTTCTGCCGGAGGGCGTGGCCGAGCCCACGACAAAGCTTGCCAGCGCATCAAGTTCACCGAAACAAACCAAAACCACAGCAGAGGATGATGAGCATAGGCTCAGAGCGGAGGACGAGGAGGAAAGGCGGCCGGCTGGGGAGCAGAAAGTAGAGGAGTCGCCACCTACGGAGAAGCTGGAACCCGCTGGAGACAAGGACTTAGCCATGGAGGATGTGGCAGAGGCTTCCCCCCAAGCTCCGGCGCCCGAGGAGCTAATGGAGGTGGGCGACAACGAGGAAGTGGTCGAAAGCCACCTGGAAAACGACGACGAGGACTCACAGATCACCAGCAGTAGCTCCAAGGAGCCCAAGCTGGATGAGGAGGACGAGGAGGAAGGGGCCACCACCAACGGAGACGGGGATCACGAGCCCGAAGACGACGACGAGGCCGAGAAGATCGGCAGCACGGCGGAAAACAGCTGCGAGGCCGAAGATCCCCTGGGAGCAGCGACAGTGCAGGAGGAGGAACTACGCAAAGGGAAGAAGGCCCATCTGGATGCCGTGGAGAGTGTGGCCAGCGAAGAGGACGATGAGGAGGAGCCCAAATCCAAGCAGGAGAATGGCTTCGGAGCCAGTCCCAACCAAAAAGAGAATGGGCAGGCCAGTTTAGCAGAAACAAAAGCGGCAGTCGCCTCCTCAGACGGCGGCGTGGTCAACCTGGACGAGGATAGTGACGAGGAAATGGAGGATCTCCCGGCACACAAAGAGCCGGCCAAGCCCACCGAGAAGGCTGCCAACCCGGTGCCATCCAGTGGAGGCGACTCCTCCGACGATGCTGTGCTGATAGCCTCCGATTCGGACACGGAGTCCCCGGCTCCACCGCCGCCAGTGAAAAAGCTTTCCCCAGCGACACCAGTAGTCAAGGCCACGCCGCCACCGCCTATCGTTCAAGAGGACGAGGATGATGACGACGACGATGACTGCGTGGTGATCGAGGACGACACACCGCCAAGTATTTCCCCCAGCGGCAAGCGCAAGTGCGATCTGGACGAGCTGCAGCAGCAACCCAGCCACAAGAGGCAGCGCAGCTCGACGCCCTCGGGATTAGGCCAGCTGACTATCAAGGACGCCCGATCTCTGATGCCCCACGACGGCGTTTCGTCCTCGGTGCCCGGACCCAGGGATTCTGTCTACCCCGTTACCATAACAAATGCCGTGACGGGGGCAGCCACCAATCTGGGCGTGGTGCCACCGAAGCTGGTTCCCATGGCGGGAGGCTTGGGCGCCAGCCCAGTGCAGCTGAATCCGCCGACGCTCTCGCTCACCGGACTGCCCAGCATGACCAACAACGCCAACCTGCTGCCCGGCCTCACTGACGACATGTTCGTGCTGGAAGCGCCTTCCTTCATTGTGCCCTACATCTACGAAAAGCCGCCGCACGAGAACATCTGCGAGGTGGTCAAGGCCATCGAAACCAAGTACGCGCTGTCCGCCGAGGATTTGGCCGAGGCGGACAAGGGCGACGAGTTCGACATGATGACCGAGCAGAACAAGGAAGACAAGCCGGCGGATCAGGATGATCAGGGGAGCAAGAAAAAGAAGAAGAAGCGCGGCGACGACGAGTCCTGGTCGGAGCAGTCGGACGACGATGACGACGAGGACGACGACGATGATTCAGAATCGGGGGTGCGCACCAAGGTGCTTATCAAGGAGGCGAACGACGATCTGAGCGCCCTGAAGGTGGCCATCAAGCCAGCGGCCGCCTTGGCCACGTCCGGCGGAGCGGCGCTTAACAATCCGGGAGGCAGCAAGCCCGGACAGGAGAACTACTTTGAGAGTCCGCTGGGCAAGTTCTTCATGGACATCGGCGTGGGCCTGGTGCAGGAATACGTTCAGGCAGATCTACTGCGACTGCAGAAGCGCAAGATGCGCAAGGCGCAGGTCCAGAATCCCAAGGAATTCGAGATGGCCATCAATGCGCTGTCGGGCAACCTGCAGGCGTCGAAGACGAAAAACGCCCCCTTCAAGTTCCGGATGAAGCGATGCGAGTTCTGCAACTTCAAGTCGGAGTCGGCCATGGCGATGGCAAACCACTACGAGACGCCGCACATGAACGGCGTGCTGTACAAGTGCAACTTCTGCACGTTCGAGATACGGAACGCCACGGAGATCGTATACCACATGGAGGCGGTGCACAACATCAAGGCGCGCCTGATCAAGCCACTGCCCTACCACCAGTGTCCCAACTGCGGCTTCGAGGACAACGGAAAGGCTAAGCTAGCGCGCCACCAGCCTGTTTGCGCCAAGAAGTTCCGGCCAGAGTTGAACCTAGCGCCGCCCAACGACTGGGAGGCCCCGGCCAAGATACCGCGCATCAAGCCACGTCATGGTCTCGTAGGCACTGCCACCGCTTATCAGGTGGGATTTTCTTCAACTTTGCCTTTAGACATCTTTTATTAATCTGTTCATTTTGCAGGCTATGGCTGCACAGGCGGCGGCACAGAAGGCCGCTCTGGCCAACATCCAGCAGCAGCAGGCGGCGGCGCAGGCCAGAAATAATCTCCAGGCAGCAGCGCTGGCCGCCCAGAACGCTGCTAAGATGCGACAACGAGCGCCGCAGCCACCCAAACAGAACATGGTGCGAAATCCGGCGCCTGTGCGCGGGGGCAACTCGATGAATGCGGGCTTGTCACTGCCGAACAGTTACCAGCTCGCTGCTGGTCAGCTTGTCCAGGTGAGCTAATCTGTAGAAAATATTTGTTTTGGTTTATTTCGATTTTAGTATCGTTAATGAATTTTCCGTTTTAATAGTAATTGATAACTCGAGAAAGTATGTGTAAACTCTGAATCCACATTATTAAAGTTTTTAATCGAACATTTATTTATTGTTTTAGGCATCCAAGAAGCCGATGGCCGGACAGCCCAGTATCTCGATAACGCCATTACCTCGACAGAGCTCGGTGGGCGTAGGAGCGGGTGCCTCGTCCAGCAAGGCGCCTCAAGCGGCCGCAGGTATGAAGCCCGGCCAGAGTCCTAGCGGCAATAACAAGGCGCAGTTTGTCATCTGCGAGATCTGCGATGGCTACATTAAGGATCTGGAGCAGCTGCGCAATCACATGCAGTGGATGCACAAAGTGAAGGTACAGCTGAGTTTCCATTTGACCCAGTATTCCTCTTTGCTAACGGTTATTTATTTTCGGAACAGATTCACCCCAAGATGATCTACAACAGGCCGCCATTGAATTGCCAAAAGTGTCAATTCCGCTTCTTCACGGATCAGGGATTGGAGCGGCACTTGCTAGGCTCTCATGGCTTGGTCACAAGTTCTATGCAGGAGGCTGCCAACAAGGGCAAGGACGCAGGTCGCTGCCCAGTTTGTGGAAGGGTAAGAGACTCTGTAAGGTTCCCGATTGATCACTTCTGATCCCTTGGTTTATTCCGCAGATGTACCAATGGAAGTTGCTGAATCACGTGTCGCGCGATCACCACATGACCCTGAAGCCCGCTCACCTGTCCTACAAGTGCACCGTTTGTACGGCAACCTTCGGCATGTACAAGCAGTTCGAGACGCATGTGTACACCGCTCACAGTACTGTGGCGCGGAAAGCGATGGACAGCAAGAAGAACAGCGCGCAGTCCAGTGGGTCGGGATCCGGAGCAGGGATGTCGCGCAGTTCGCTGGGAGCGGCCAACGACTCGCTGCTGAAGCCGCTTAAGATCAACGATGAGATCACCATCATCCCACAGCCCGCATCGAAGCCACGCATCACAAATATGGAGAGTCATGTTATAGGTACGTGATTTCCCCGATTGGGATCAAGTTTGAAATAATCAAATCGGATATCCGCGAACAATTCTAAGCAAAATTGCAATCACAGCTAAGCAGAGCAAAAAACGTATCTTCTTCAGGAAAGCTGAAATCAATAACATTGAAAAATAGCATTTAATTTTTTGCTTTTGATAATTATTTGACCATAACTTTATTGTAAAATGTTTAATAGGCTGTTTAAATGCTTCCTGTAAAAGGTATCGTTATTTATATATTTTCCTTTTCCATTCCAGATTAAATAGCGTGTTGGATCAACCAAAAACCTAATCTCGCAAAGTTTGCAGCATCGACAGCGCTTTAACATTAGTTTTGTTTTTAAGCCGAACGAGACCTTGCCACCCCAAGGTCACGCCCTTTTACTTCTGCAAAACGAATTGTATAAAGAGCATGAGTTTAAACCGAAACCGAAGCTGAGGAGAATGAGAAGGAGGATGCGGATGAGCAGAATGGAGGGCCGGAGGGTTGGCCACCTGACCTGTGACCCCTGACTAAACTAAACTAGAGTAGCCCGTACTTGCTTCAGTTGAAGCGGCCACACACCAGCTACAGGATACGCGATACACATAACGCTACGGCATAGATACAGATACAGATTACAGATACAGATAGAGATACTAGTTACGGATTTTAGTTACATACGTTTTGGAGTGTGCACATAAGTTGAAGTTGTAGCTACTACTAAAATATACCACGTACATACATATATAATTAACTATATTTAATGCATATTATGAAGAAGCCGCCAGAGCGCCATCGTCAGCATGATGAATATGTAAATTAGTTAAAAACTAAACTATTTATACAAGAACTAAGAGTATCCAAATGTGTGTTGCAGTATGTATATACATTTTGAATAGGTCCCCGCCCACGTAATTGTCGCGCTTCGCTTTGATCTCCCCTCGAATCTTTCAGCTTTCTGTGCGATTGATTGGTGGACGAGGCAGTGGCGTGATTCGGAGCGGAGCGGAGCGCGGGCTAGGACACTTCTACACTGATCTGAGAGACGTTCGACATTTTATTTTTTGTGTACAAGTTTAAACTTATGTTTATATTATACATTATCTATTAATATTAAAGTATATATCATCTATTACCGCCTAAGACCCCATGTACTACAGTTATAAAGCAACCCATACACACAACCAACCAACCAACCAAGCAACCAACAACAACAACAAACAAACTGAAAATGAGAAAATTAAAAACCTAGTTAATACAAAGTGCTAAGAGTGCTGGTGATTTTCATTGCAGTCTTGAGGGTTCCAGGCGGGCCCCTCACTTTGGGTCCCGGCACTCCATCGTCCATCGCCCGCCGACGTCAGAGGTGAGAAGTGATCGGAATGCTTTTAGCATTGGGGAGTCACATGACGACGATGACCACCTCGCACCGCCCGAAGACCAGATAGCACCAGTCGGAAGAAAGACAGACGCCTCATTTGCCTAGCACTAATGCGAAGTTTATTTTTACTTTACAAACGAAAAGTGAATTTCCAACCTTGTGATGGGACCAAGGCCTTCGTGCCGATCCGTCCTGACCTGTCCGCGTCCAGTCTTTTCTAGCACTGTAGGTACTCGAGTGTGTGAAGCCGTAAAACTAAGTACATCTAGATTACACCTATTGTAGGTTGAGTGGAGAGCAACGCACTGCATCACGATGATGACGATGATTCGGGGGCGATGGAGCTTCTAGTCCTCGGGCTCCGCCTGAGCCACCTCGTTGTCGGCGGCGGGGTTAACCGGCACGGACTGTCCGATTTGCGAGGAGGGAGGGAACAGCTGGGCCGCGTGGGTGAGCTTGGCCAGCGCGTCCTGGTCGAGGATCTGCGGCTTGTCGGCGGCGCTGGTGTTGGACCTGCTCAGCTGGTAGAAGGCGGTGTCGCTGTGCGTGATGTTCACGATGCTCCCGGTCAGGGGCAGGGTCTCCAGCAGCTCCTGGGGACTGCTGAAGGCTCCCAGGTTCACGGGTGCGATTCCGGTGAGCACTTGGCCGGTGACGTTCGTCTGGATGGGCAGCGGGATGTTGCCCAGGTCGATGTGGCTCTTGTTGCTGTGCGTATCGTAGAAGGTGAGGTCCACCCGCTCCTGGCTCTCGAAGCTGGTGTCGTTCTCGTCCACCTCGGTCAGGATGCCGATCTCGTAGACCACCGCCTTGACCACGTAGCTGGGGGAGAACAGAAGCGAGTTAGAAACGGTTATTTCTAGAAAACAAAAGTCTATATTTAGCCAATTAACACTTGGACATTATTGAGACAAACAAAAACAATTAGTTGACAGGCGTATATTGTTTTTAATATTGATTATAGTAGTAGTTTCCCAACTTTGATATTTATAAAAAAATTTAAATATTCGAGAACTTTACAGTAGCATGTAAAGATTTGATTTACTCAGTAGATCAAAAGATCTTTCGTTGAATCATGAAAATATTAATTTTATTTTTTATTTCATTAGTGACTCACAGATTCTTGGGCGTGTCGTTGACGCTGGCCCTCAGCTCCTCGATGGTGGCGTTGTCGATGCCCGAACTGGCATCCAGCACCGGAAGGGTGCCTCCGAGGGCCAACAGCATGCCGAGCACGGCGGCTCCAAAAACAGCCTGGTAGACCTGCATGTTGGCGGCGAAGGCGAAGGCTTTTGGAAGACTTGGGGACGACGGCCTGCTGGTGCTCTGCTGGGATAGTGGCTCCGGTGCCTTCTCTGACTTTCGCGCGTTTAAAGGTAATTAGTGCAGATCGGAGCGCTTTTATAGCGATCTGGAGCTTCGGTCGGCAGTCCGCTGGCGAGGCGCGATTCCGCGTAATTATCGGCACTGTTAATTGCCCGACAGGTTTGCCACTCTCCACGGGTCTCCATCTCCAGTTTCTAGGCACCGACTCGGACTTGGCTTCCGTTTCGACCCGGCTGGCGATTGTTTTGTTTCGAGGGCCCAGACTCTAATTAATTGCGCTCGTTTCTGGAGCGGTTCCCAGGGACTGTCCCCCGTCCAATCCCCACAAATATTGACCGTTTGATAGGGCTGCCTGCGCAAATCTCAACTTTGTGTTTACACCTCGGATCTGGCCAAAAATAAGTTCATAAACATTGCACCTTGGTGACGCAGTTGCCGGGATTATTGCATGTGGCCTGGACACGCGCCCGTCTGCCAATGAATTCGAGTGCTCATATTACGCATACGCCCCGTCTGACGTAGACATGTGCTTTGACCGCCACACATTATCGCACAGAATCGTTTGCAGTTAATATGCAATGTGAGAGTTTTCTCCATCACATGCTAAGCTTCGTTCTTTTTGTGCTGTTTTTCGTATTACGCATACGCCCTGTGTGACTAGAAAGTGTATCGAAATATCATGCAATGACTGCCGAAAGAAATAAAAGATAGATAGCTTTCTCGAAAATTCTCTATACTATGTGATAACTTCTTTTCGAAGGCTGACTGTACTAACAAAATGCTGACTAGAATTAAAATTTAGAGATATAAGGCACACCTCCCGCCAAATGCTTAATAAATCTATAATCAAATTAAAAACTTTGAGGATTTTTATGGCCCACCGACTTTACGGGTTATTTCGCACCAGAGCAATCTGCTTAAAGCCGCCCGATTTCCGGCCAGATCTTGACTTTCATTCATGACTGCCCGGATTCTGCGCTTTTTTTCGGCCTGCAGTCTTTCCTCGGCCAATCGAAGCCGCAGTAAACGTTTTGCGGTTTTTCGATATGGAGGCAGATCGGTTTCCAGGCACGTTTCTTCAACAAGTTTTCACCTTATCATGGACCTTTGTCTCAGCGGAAAATTTTCGAAATTAATTTGCACATCTCGCATACCAACTGTGTGCCCCGGTGATCTCATGGCGACCGCTCTAATTATGAAGTGTTAAGGAGGCGAAATTGTAATTGCCCCAAAGTGCAGTCATCCGAGGGCTGCAAAAGTATGACAAAGTATGAAGATGGTAATTATTTGGCGGTTGTCAGCGCGTGTTCGGCGAATGGACATGTTTTCTTTTTTTTTGACAGATTGTTTTGGCCTTTTAGAGCCCCAGACCAGACTTGTTTTTATTTTGATCGGCTTCTTGGAATTGACTTTGTCGTTTATTTTAGTAAATGTGTGTTAATTCGCATAATTAAGACAATCAACTTAGACTTGACAGCGACGCTTTCATATGTGATTCAAAAACTCCTGGGTCATAAAGCACATTTTACGGTTGGTAATCCTTGGAATAGATATTTATATTTTAACTAATTGAACTGAATTCGTGAAGCCATGAAGGTTTAAAGTATTATCACTTAATTTATTTATAATGACTGAAAAACTGCAGATAGGATTTCTAGCATGAAGAATTCCAAATCAAATAACCCGATACAAATCGGATAACAGAACGGATAAAAACTATTTAGTAGAGCTCTCCTGTTTTTAGAAAGAAGTTCGATCTTTAAAAATATATTTCTATATTATATAAATATTTATTTTGTTTGTTAAATTTCATTTGGTTTTTCGCATTTTTTTATGAAACGATAATTTTTCCCAGTGTCGAAGCTTTGGAGATGAGCAGCAAACAGAACACGAAGGAATAAAAAATAGACTTGGTTTGGGCCCAAACATCGAGGGAGCAGCACGCGCAGGCACCAAAACAAGTTCGGCAAACCAAGCGATCCAAGTGCTAACTGAACGTAATAACAAAGCTTAGCCGCAACTTTCGATCGGCTGGTGCCGGAAAACTTTAAAAACGCGCCAGCCCCTGGGCCCTAAACTTATTTCCCATCTGAGCTTGGAGCTGAACACAACCGATCCGGAAAAAATCACCAGTAGCAGCAGTGGCCATGAAGTGCACTTTGCTAACCACAGTGAGTAGAAGTCTTTCAGGAAAAATTAGGAGGCACTGCTTTCAAGGAGTTACGGTTTCTGCACTTGGTAGTTCCACTCCTTAAACCAATCAAACGTAGTTATTTTACAAACTAGCTTTAAAATATTATTATCCATCAATCCTAAACTTGAACTTAAACTAATTCTCTGACAACTAAATTACTAAATTATTTCATAGACTTAGTGAGAAAGAAATTAAAAGAGTTAATTTAGTTTGAATAAATTACTTATTCAAAATATCTTCTCATATTTTCTAGTTGCTGGCAACCCTGGCGGTTTCCTCCTTGGCGGCCCCTTTTGATTTGGGAACCCTCTTCTCCGGGCTCCAGCCGTTGGAGAAACAGGATGTGGTCAAGCGGCAGGTGCAGGCGAATCCGGACGCCGAGCTGAAGCAGATCTCCTTCCACGGCCTGATCGGAGATCTGGAGGACAGTCTCTTCCAGTCCGCGCTGAGTCTCCACCAGGCCAGTGCGCCGGGCAGCGAGGTGGAGGAGGTGAAGCCGGAGTCCCCGGCCCAAATAGCTGAGGACGAGGAGCACGCTCTGACCAAGCGGTCGGACGAGGCCACTCCGGCCACGGACGCCGATGCCACGTCCGCGGACGAGGGTTCGCTGCGCAAGATCCTGTTGCAGACCACCAGGAAGGTGCCGAACAGCGAGGACGGTGTGCCCGCCCACCTGATCATCGACCACGTGTCCGTGCAGCCACACAACGGCGGAGTCCTGCCGCTGATTCCCACCTTCCAGGTGCACCACACCAAGCTCATCTCGGCCACCATCAAGGAGGACTCGAACAACGACAGCAGCGACGGCAAGCAGACCAAGATCAGCATCACCAAGACCTCGATCACATCCACGGCTCCCATTGAGAGTGTGGAGGAGTTGGTGGCCAGCGCGGGAGCCACCAGTGCCACCGAGGAAGCCGCCACGAAGGTGGAGACCACCACGAAGGTCCCAGAAAAGGAGGAGATCGCCACAAAGGTCCCAGAAAAGGAGGAGGCCACCACCAAGGTACCAGAGAAGGAGGAGAGCGACAAGAGCTCCACAACCGTCCTGGCCATCGTGAGCAGCTCCACTGCCATCAGCAGCTCCTCCCCCTCCAGCACCACCACCACCACCACCAGCAGCACCACCACCACCGAGGAGCCCATCCAGAAGCTGAAGAAGGACGAGGAGAAGCTGAAGGAGAAGGTGGCCGAGGTGGAGGCCGACCCCGTCATCCTCTCGGCTCGCGTTTAAGCCAGCCGACCCCTGATCCCACTGATCCCACTAGCTGTAACCCATCGCGCCCCTCATCCCCCGCTCACATATTTATGGCCCGCCAAGTTCAATTAAAGTCATGTGATTTGAATCGAGCCGGGGCTTCTTTATTTGCATTTCCAATTCACACGCCGCGGGAAGCGCTGGATTGGGAACCGGAGAGGGTCACCCGGGCAGGTCTCTGCCACATTTGAGGCTCTAATTGCTCGGACAAACACTGGTCTTAATGAAGCTAGCGGTCCACCCAGGCATGACCGATCCCATCTTGCTTGAAAGCTTCCCAGAATCTCCGGCGGGGAAAACCTCGCATCGGTATGCAAATATTTCTGTGCCGAGGAAATATCGCTATCTGTTCCCACAAAGCGTGTTGCGAATGTGGTCGTTGTTGGGGTTCAACTATCCGTTCGCTCGATTGTGTTTGTGTTTTGCCAAAAAGTGTTAATCAGCCTCATTGCTCGATGACCGACATCATTAGTCAACAAATTGCGAATCAATTATTTGCACTTTGATTATAAAATTGTGGAGAAAGCGAGTGTGGTTTTGTTTGTTTTTGATAAGTCAACTTCCTAAACAATGCTTATAAATAGCTATTTATTCCCAATCCAACGACCTTGTTCGCTCATTAATAATGTAATCTATAATATAGAAATTACATTTCTTTTAGATGACTCATGTTTAAAGATTTAAGGGCAATAACTAAAGGTGTGAAGCTATTGAGTTATCTATCACTACCCATTATCAAATAATTTTAATTTGAAAACAGAAAGTTTATGGCAACAAAAGCTTATAAAAAGAACAGTAGTTCTTTGAATAATATTCCAGGTGTAAATTGAATTTGATTGGTAATTTTTATATTTTTCAGTGGCAGAAGCGCTAATCAAAACAATTGCCGGGGCTTGTAAACTTTTTAGGTGCTTCCTTGGGTGTGCTATGAATCAGCCCCGATAAAGAAATCCCCTGAACCGCACTCAATCACTTACAACCTGGAATGATGATTAGTACACGAGCCAAAAGGCTGAGAGCCCGCATATCAAGTATACGCAACGTGAGCGAGACGACTGATAAGTCGTTCACTCCGCGTTCTGATAAACCCGCCGTCAGCTGTGAGTTTAAATTTAGTTCCTGCTTACTGTCGTGTACTTCTATTTGTTTACCCACCTGGGGGCAGGTTCGCCTATATTTGCAGTCGGGTATATCTATGTTTTCCCAATGATAAAGCTCGAAAGCTCGTAGATAACGCCTCCAATTTGTATTACAAAACCAGCGAAAATATTTGCACTCTGCCATTGTGCAACTGGGAGCACAATCTGCCGTAGTCAGCGATCCATGCTGGCGCTTTTGATAACAGGTGTAACCCTTAAAATTTCATTAGGTTTATCTTATCGTTCTGGAAGAGCGAACCGTTTCGGAGACCCGGAGTCGATGGCCGTTCGACGGAAGAGCTCAGTCCACAGGAGGCAGTCGGCTAACGCGTTTCTCCTTCCGATTTCCACCTGCGAAAAAGCCGCGAATTGAGTTCCAACGGTGAGATAAAGGCTTGTGGTTCGGTGTGAGTGCTTGTGGTTCTGGTTCTGTTGTTTATGGCCAACTCTGCGCGTACTTTATTGGAGTGACGACAGCGTAATTTCCTCGGTGATTCATCGAATCGGGAGATTAGACAGTCGTCCTCAAGTGCGGAAAGAAATCGGCCAAGGAATGATTGAGCTATCCTGACCCGTATGCAAAATCCCAAAAAACTAATCAAGCTGATTAGATATCTCCCGCATTGACGAATTGTAATTTCAAATTGAATTTATAGCCCCAAAGCGTGCGTTGTCTTATCGAGTAGGCAATTGGCTGGCCCAGCGATCACAGGTTGCACAACCCATTAGCCGGAATAGCAAATACCCCGCCGGAGGAATACTTCAGTATAGAATCCGTCAAGATGGCGAGCATGGGCACTGGCTTTTCCAAGTGCTTTATTCTCTTTATGGCGGTTGTCATACTCGTGAGTGCCAAAGATTATTCGACATTCTTTTCGGACTAGTCAGTAATCCCACGAATTGTGTTTCAGGCCCAGGGAGCCGTCTATTTGGGCCTCTCCATCTGGGGCATCACCTTCCGCGAGTGTCCGGATGGAGTCACCGACTTCAGCGAAAACCCCTTCAAGTTTGCCATGGAACTGATATACTTTTCTCGTGAGTAATCGTATTAACAAGCTTCAAGGTGATATCAAATTAGGTTCTGTTATTCTCTTGTATCTGGATTGGATTGTATTCCAAACCACGTGAAAACAACAAAACAACTTTTCATAAATGAAAGACATGCATTATAAATGTGTAATCTTAAAAACAAGAATTCTTTGTACAAGTGGTAGCTACTCATAGCTCATATAACTGTGGTTTAGTGTTTCCAAAACTTCTTTCGATTAATTTTCTGTTTTACAATTTCCAAACAGAGCAGGAGTGTGGTGATCCGGTCCTGAAGATTGGCAATGATCAGGTGGACTTGACCATTGATTGGGCAAAGTCCGAAACGCTGACCCACAGGGAGTTCATCTTCATGGTCACCTACGCGGTGGTCAGTGGTCTCTGGGTGGCCACTTCGGTACTGGTGATAAGTAAGCAACCCAAAATAACTTGGAGGGTGAATAATAGCTGAAGATTCGTTGCAGCTACCTTATGCAGCCGCACCACCAAGCTGATCTCCGGAGCGATTTACTGGCCCTGGTTCCTCTCGGTGCTCGCAGGCAGCATCCTCGACGTGGTGGCCTCTGTGTATCATGGAATCGACTTGAGCCACACAACGGTAATTAAAAAGGATCTCATAATGGGGCTTCATGAGTAATGAACCTTACTTCCACAGTCCCTGCAAGATGCACTCGACTACATTGGGGTGGTAACTAGTGACACTAACGCAAACATTTGGACATTGATGGAGCCCTTTGGAGTCTACTTCTCCACGCCTTCGATTGTGCTGCTGTGCCTGACCACTCGCGTGGCCATCATTTGGCTGCTGAACATCATCGGAGTGAGTTTCTGCCTCTCCCTGTCCGGAATCATGGCTCAGCAGAATGCCAAAGCCGCCGCCTTGAGCAGGAGTCAAGCTCCCACTCGCCAGCCGACGCCGCAGCCCGTGGTTGCTTTAGCCGAGCCAGTGGTGCAGGCCACTGTGGTGGAGAGCCTCCAGCCCTCGGCTCCGCTAGAGAGCCCACAGTATCCGGAGCAGATCCGACCCAAGCCACTGCCCATATTCATTCCCTCCGAGCAGAACGTGCAGCGCCAGGACTCCCGCCAGTTTGCACCCGGGGATCGCACCACCCTGCAGTCGCCGGTGATGGTGCTGCCACCGCAGGTGCCGCAGCAGAGGGATGTGGTCTCCCCGCAGCCGGACATCAACACCTACCGCACCACCGAGGCCCATCCCGATCGCCTCAACTATCCGCCTTCGGAGCCGCCGACGCCGCGGTCTCCCTCACCGGCTGTCCAACAACTGGCGGTGACCTCGCCGCTGAACAACCGCTACAGCGAGATGTACCCGGCCCCAGTTAATCCACGAGTCAGCGAGGAGCTGCGCAACCAGATGCCCTGGTCCTACACGAGCATGGTGACCAAGCCGCCACCGCCGCCGCGCAAGCCGCAACTCCAGGTGCAGATCTACCCGCAGATCCCGGAACCCGACTACGCGGATCACTAGACTCAGCGGTAGTGGAGGCAGCTCGGAGCTGATTTGGGTTTAATCAGCCTGGATGCGCGGTTGTGAATGGTTTTGTGTTATTTTTAACTTTATTGCATAAAGCTAAAGCTGATGGCCAACCGATTGACTTTTACTCTCGGCTGTTTCTCGGGGAAAGCTGCCCATAAGTAGCCTCTTTTTGTGCTGGCTATGCTCCGCCACTAGTTTGAGGGCTTCGTTCACGTCCAGCTCTAGTTTCTCCCCTTTACTGAGGTGCACCTCCAGCTTGGGGGAATCCAGATCGGCAGACTTGGCACCCACCACAATGGTGAGCGGATGTCCCAGGCGCTTGGCTTCTAGTAAACGTTTGCCAATGGTCAGATCCTTGCGGTCGTCGTGGAGCAGCTCCTGGTGGCCACAACACTCTCCCACTTTCAGCAGGAGTTCGTTCTCAATCACTTCCGCTGCAGGCTGTTCCTTGCTTCCCTGCTTGGGTCCTATTAAGCACACATCGTACGGAGCCAGGAGTCTTGGCCAGCGGAGTTCTTGTTCGGAGGAGAGCACCTCCAGAGCTGCAGCTATGACCCTGGTGACGCCTATGCCAAAGCAGCCCATCACAAGGGGTTGTGGCTTGCCAGAGGTGTTGAGGAAGGTGGCGCCCAAGGGCTTGGAGTACTTGTCTCCCAACAGGAAGGTGTGGGCTACCTCAACTCCTCGAACTTCTTGCAAGTTCGAGCTATTGCAGCTTGGACAGGACGCTGGTTTGCCTTCCAAGACCTCGGAGTTGCCTGCAAAGCCGCAAGACCTGCACTGCAGAAGGGTGTCCTCGCCCACTGGTGAAATATAGTGATATTCATGGGACAAACTTCCACCCATCATTCCAGTGGCGGCATTTACTAAAAATTACATACGATTATAAACTGTTACAAGTATATCCAAATGTCAAGTAGCGTTACCCTTAACAAAAGGCACCTCCAGCTGCTGGAACAACCTGTTGTAGGCAGCACTCACTATGGAGTACGATTCCCTGGCTGTTTCTTCGGAGACATCAAAGGAATACATGTCCTTCATCAGGAATTCTTTGGCCCGCATCAAGCCAAATCGTGTTTTCAGTTCATCCCTGAACTTTGGGCCTATTTGGTAGAGCCTCAGGGGCAGTTGGCGATAAGAAATGGGTGAATTGGTGGCAAGCATGGCAGTCACTGCTTCCTCGTGGGTCTAATCGTGGAAGGAAAGGTTACATTTCAATTTGGACCTCGAATGTGTGCCCACTTACTCACTGGACTCATGAGGAACTGCTTGCCACTGTGGTCTCTCACCATATAGAACTCGGAGATGTCTCCATCGAGTCGTCCTGTCTTTTTCCAAAGACCTGAGGGCGTTAAAACTGGCAGGGTGATCTTTTGTCCTCCGGCCAGTTGCATGTTTCTCTGAACCAGGTCAATGAACTTGTCAACTGATCGCTGAGCCAGGGGCATAATCTGATAGGTGCCATTGCTACCCGATTTAATTAAACCCAATTCAGTCAGGAGCTGGAGTATTCATAAAACTAATTAATATTCTTAGTATTTCATAACACCTCGAGTTCCTCGAGTTTTTACCTTTGGCTGCGAGACAGTTGCTCCGTCTGCTTGACCACAGCATTTTTTGGTGTAATTAGGGCCGGACAGTAAAGTCGCGAGGCCTTGTTCATGATTTAACAAAAAATATTTTACAAATAAGACAATTCAATAAAAATATTCTTCCTTTGCAAAAACAGCCGGTAAATAAAAAGCAAGACAACAAATGCAAGAACACAGTGTGACCAGAGAAAGCATCAGTTGTTTAGTTCCAAGATTATTGCAATAAAAACAAAACATAGTTTGGTTTAAATATTTTATTATGGTTTGTACATTGACTTTTTTATTTAGATTGGATTTGTAAATATATATTTGATGTTGCTTTTTAACAAAGTAGCACTTACAACAATCTCTTATATCAAGCTGCCTTGCAATCTGTCATCGCTAGCCGGCTTTTCGTCCTTTCCAACACTTATTTCTATTTTGGTCAAGTCGCTCCAAAATGAATTCGAGTTTCCAGGACCTGTATAAAAAGGGTCTGGATCCTGGCGAGCATCAAAAGCAGCGCCAGAGAGAGCTCTTAAAGCAGCATAAGCTGCGCCGTCAGCAGGATCTGGACGAAAAGCGCCCCCTCCAGAAAAATACAAAAACGCCGGCAGAGAGGAAGAACAAGAAACGTAGTGGCCACCAAAAAGGAATTCCCTATAGACCGCAACTTTCCGAATGGCTGCGTCACAAGCCTGAGGACCTCGGCGAGTGGGTTCTAGTTCCTTGTCCCGTTGGGAAAAGATGCCTTGTGGTGGCCAGCAGGGGAATAACTCGAGCTTACTCTAAAAACGGCTGGATGTTCATGAATTGGAGGTCTTCCTTGCCAGGGGATTGTCAAATGCAAAAGTGCGAGACTGTTCTAGACTGCGTCTACGTGGAGGAAGCGGATACCTTCTACGTACTGGATGCCATCTCATTTGGGCAGCAGGACTTGCAGGATTGCGAGGCGTCCTTCCGTTTCTTTTGGCTACGCGCTCGCTTTGAAGAGAACGATTTTGCCCAGATTAAAGCGCTGCATGAGAAGTCACTTGTGCTCCTGGACCACTACGACTTTGAGGACACCTCTGCCGTTGAGCAGGCTTTGCAAAAGTACCCAGTTTTTCCGGAAAACAAGCCAGACTTAGATGGATTTTTATTCTACCATAAAGAAGCCAGTTATGTGTGCCAAGTTACTCCTTTGGTTTGCTGGCTGTTCGCTTTTATGATGCCAGATGTGCTCGGTTTGGCGGTCAGTAAAAGTTACTCGACTCCCGAGGATTATCAGTCCAGCCAGCCTCTTCAATATATGGACGACTTTGACCGGAAACTAGAAGAACGAAAGAAGCAGTTCAAAAAGCAAAAGAAGGCATCCAAAGAAAATGAGAGGCAGCAGAACCTCATGGAAGCGGAAGAGGAAGCAGAAAGCGATGAGTACGCCAGCTTAAAAGGAGTCCTCGATCACCAGCGGCGACTGGAGCTCGGGGAGTTCGAAATGGACTGTGCGGAACCGCCGACAGCTGACTGCTGTTAGGCGGACTTGGCGGTGGTGTGGGGGTGGCTTTCCCGCGCAGGCGCACTAAAAACGCGGCCCTGGACAAACAGCCTCAGCTCGCGCCCAGGAAAACCAGCCCAGATTGCGACCACCTCTTAGGCAGCGAAACTAATTAACACACTTAAAAAATATCAAACGGAAAACATGGTTATTCAGCGAAGTTGGAAAATTCCCACTGATGTGGGGGGCTCCCTAAACAGCAACACAACACAAGCCAACGAAGTGCAGCTGCGCTCTTCTCCGGGCATTCAGATGCAGGCAGCCAACTCCTCCTCGGATGACTCGGATTGCTCCAACCAAACCACTCATTCTATGGACACACGCGTGGCCAGTCCAGTAGACGGCGTCAGAAAGCAGGCGGATAAGGATTCGGCTGCAGAAAGCAACACAATCACGTTGTCGCTGTTGGGGGAGTCCACATCTTCAGAGGCAGAGTGCTCGCAGGTCTGTAATTGTGTGTCTACATAAGTGGCAAATATATACGTTATTGCTTCCCAGAAATATGTAACCACTCCAGAAATGGCAGAGAACATGTTGCAACGCATTCGCCAGCGACTCGGTGGCTCACACAACATGGAAAGCGGCGGCAGTGCGGAGTCCGCCATGAGAGCCCTAGAACTCCTAAGGATCACTGTGCAGCAAGCCTTCGATGCGGAGGTCAATGAAATAATCAAACGATACATGCAAGTAGGTTGAAACCCGTTTTGAGGTTTGAATCATGCCTGATTCCTACTTTCTTGCTTTGTTGCAGAACTACTTTAAGCCCGCCTTTGCCAACATCAAGGAGAATCTCGGCCAGCATTCGGTAAACGAGGAAACGCTGCAGAAGATGTCATCGTGCGCTTTGCTGGAGAATGCCAAGGCTCAGTACACGAACTTTGTGCGTCAGCATCGCTTGGTGGCCGGAGCTACAGAACAGCAACGCTTGGCCCTTAAACGCACTGCCAAGCAGGATATCAACCCGATCAATAAGGTGTTTGCGGGAAACCCTGGCTTCGTGGCCTCCAAACCAATGCCCTGCACTGCGACCACAGCCAACCAGTTGCCATCCCAGAACCAACTGCCTGCAGCCCAGATTTTGCCACTTCAACAGCCGGAGTTGCAGACAGTTCCGCCCCTACAGCAACAGCAGGAGCAAAGTCACGCACAAAACCCACAACAGCAGCAACAGCAGCAGCAGCAGCAGCAGCAGCAGCAGCACCGATCGACGGTTACCCCTGTGGTGGGAGGCACTCTGCCCACTCCTGTGCGCCGCCAGATATTCTGGAACACTGCTCAGATCTCAACCACCACCAAGTTCGTGCTGGATGTGCAGGCCAATCTGGCCTTTGGCTTCGGCACCGACGGCAAGGAGCGGTTGGCCAGCAAGCATCCGGAACTGATTCGCTACCTGCCGGATGGCGGGGACAGGGAGTGGCTGGCCACGCGGGGCATCATTCCTGCCGAGAACCGCAGCTCGCGCTTTCTGTTCCTCATCTACGATGAAGTCTGCCGGCTGCAGCAGACCCACGAGCTGTACCGCCACAAATCGAACATCGATCTCAGCATGATGCTCACCTTTAGCGTCACCGAAGCCATGATACACAAGATGAGGCTGTTCTTCGTGGATCTGAACATCAAGAGCCGTGGGCTCATAACCAACTCCTACATAATGCCTGGCCAGCAGCAGTCGGCAAGTGCCAACAACAGTCACCTGAGGAATGCCCTGCTCCAGGGCGCTTCAACCCAGCAACAGCAGCAGCCACAACAGCAGGTAGCCACGCCGCCGGCTGAGGAGGCGGTGCTCAAGGACCTGCCAGCCGCATCGCCCACTCCCTGCTTGCAGGGTCAGCTGGTGGGCAGCACGACGACGCCCCTGAAAACGAAGCTGGCGGCCAGTTCCACCCTCAGTTCCTCGCACGCCACACTCACGGCTTTGTTGAACAACGGAGGAGCTGTTGTGGCAACCCCGCCTGCCGGCAATTCCGCTCCCGGCGCCGTTGGTAAATTCAGAAATTAATATAACATATTATTTACATATATTTATTTTTCGAGAATTGCGTTGATCTTCTCCTACACGTAAAGTCTTACTCTGATAAGCTTGTAACATCCAACCGAACAACAACCTACTGAAAAACACCAAGAACGAAATCAATTTCAAATAAATACTTGATTTTTATTGAAACTCAATTTGATATACATATAATGTGGGTCTCTTCGGGGTGTCTACAGTTATTTTAAATACAATAATATATATATTTATATAGTATGTACGTTCATATGCATATGGTACACATCCGTGTATATTGTGTCACATAGTGTACGCAGGTAATGGCTAATTATTTTAACAAGTAGTAGATTTGTATTCTTATAAGCCTTGCTACAGCCCACTCGGCACTTTTGAAGCGCAATCCTCCCCGAAATTCCAGCCCAACGCTACACGCTGATATGGTGTTATTTTTACAGTTTCCATCTACTCGGCGCCAACTGGCGGCCAAGTATTATATGATAGGTAATAGTAATAGTAGTCATTAGTCATTAGTAGCATTAGAGTTAGTAGAAAAGACCGAAAATACCTAAGAGTAGTGGTGGCAGCAGTGTGCCGGAAAACAGTTCCAACTACGCGCGGAACTTAGTAGGTAGTTTTAATTTTGAGATAGCACAACCATTTTAGTTTCCGTACCCAACTAGGAGGCGTATAAAACAACAGCCAGATTGTGGAGAGCAGTTAGCCAACCGAGAGAAGCGGGAATACTGTTCTGTGTGTGTTCCACTCTTACCCTGACTGCCTTGACAACTACCAAGTACTTACGAGATACAACAATGGATTATCTGGTACTAAGTAATTTCTTTGGGGTTTTAAAGCAACATCTAACAATAGGAAGGCCCGCAGCTGCCCTTGAAACGGATGCAGATACAGGTACGGATATACGTACGAGTGCGGTGCCGTCGCGGTCTGAAGGTCGTTGAGTTTCGCCCAAGAAATGGTTTCCAGCTTAAGGACATTTAGCTACCGCCACCGCAACTAGCGCTAAAAGTGTTCGGGACAGTAAAAGTTCTACAATGTCTCTGCGGCGCAAGTACCCTGAAGTGTAAGCGTTGTATACGATAAATAAATCTACGTGTGTCGTAACTTTAGTTTGAAACTCCAAGTCGTCAGGCTGAACGCTGATTAGATATTAGATTTATACACGAGTTCCGAAAATGTAAATTTTTCACTTTTCATTGCAGAGATTGTCCTGTTTGTGTGGCTGAAGCGATTGGAGAGTTCGAAGGGAAAACAGGATATATGGAGGATAGTATGTCTTTTAGCCGACTGTGATGCAACCGGATCCTTACCATAAAATGACTACAGTAAATTCGTCTTAATCACGCTTAATCGCACCCATTTCTCACGCCCACACAAGCTCTCACCCATGAAGATTGTCGATTTAAACTAGATTCCTTTCGTTCGATTCCAGATTCGGGATAATCAGATAAGATAAGATTAGATTAGATTAGATTAGATTAGATTAGATTAGTACCACAACTTTAGATATTCAAAACGTTAGATATTCTGGTTTCGGATACCTATAAGATAATATTGAATACTTCGATTTTTAGAGCTTCAGCTTAGCAGATACTTTTGCGGAGCAGTTGAAACCTTGGCGGGGTCTTCAGCTGTGCGGATAGTTGGGGCTAGCCTACTGGGGTCTACGTACGAGTATAGCGTATAGCGCAACATTAATTAACACTTATCCGGATTATACGCCTCTGCCAGCCACCGAGCTTTAAGTCCCTCTCTGCGGTGTGGTGCCACCCACTTCGTTGCCTCGAGATTTCAACATTATTGTTTAGTGCCGATTCGTTTCCGTTTTCGTTCCCCTTCCGTTCCGTTCCGTAATCACTCCACTGCCCAAATGCGAACAACATTAAACTTTCACAAATACAACAAGCAAAAATATATGAACGCGTGTATATATGCTTCTGGTACTCCGGTTCCTCAATTATTGTGCTGTCTGGTATTGGATTCCCGCCTCAGTGATGCCTACCCTGCTGCGAGTACCTGAGTACCTACCTCTACCTCTGCCTCTACCTCTACCTCTACCTCTACCTCTACCTCTACCTCTACCTCTACCTCTACCTCTACCTCTACCTCTACCTCTACCTTACTTACAAAGCTCTCTCACCACGAGTTTATTCGAGTGTAGTGTTTAGTGTTTGGTGTTTAGTGTTTGGTGTTTAGGGTAACGTAACCCGACCGATTCCACCTGCCAGCTAAGCTCATTTGACTAAGACTAATACATGGAGTATGGTGAGGGGATTCGGGAGCCTCTGTTCCTCGGGGTAACAATACATAACGTACGAGTAGCTTTCCGCATCTTAGGCGCTAACAAGTTGCGCCTGCGGCGGCAGTTGTGGCGCCTCCGATTCCAGGGGACGGCGGCACTGCCGGGGGATCGCGGTGGCCGGGTTGCTCCGGTTGTTCGGTCAGGGGGAGTTGTCCGAGTCGGAGCCCCCGTAGCTGTGCATCGGGAAGAGCGGGTACCACCCGCTGATGTGCTGCCCGATGTTCACCTTGTCCAGGTTCACCTCCGTGCCGCCCAGTCCCACGTTGTGCTCGAATCCCACGCACCGCTGCCACACCATGATCACGATGTTCCGCCCAAAGACGTCCGAGCTCTGCGAGGCATGCAAATAGGCTATCGTTACTCGCTTCTCTGTGTTCTGTGCTGCCGTAATTACGCGGATGCCAATAAAAATATGGCGCGTGCCCAACGGGGCGCCCACCTGCGATGACTTAACCCTCTGTGCACCTCTTTTCCAATTTAACTTTAGCATTATAAAGATTTAAATGAGGATTAATCCTACACATTTCAACTTCACCTTGAATTTACATTTTTTTTCGAGTTTACTATTGGTAATAAGTTCTTAAAGTCTCACCGGAATTTTTAAAATGTTTTATATAGATTTTGTAATGGAGGAGCTCATAAACTAACTGAAATTCACTTTGCCTTCAAACTATATTGTTTATGTGGGCAAAAGCAGATACTTCGGTGTGCAGAGGGTTAAGACTGGGTCGTATCTGTGGGCCACCCGCTGGGCGGGGAAATTGGCCGCGTCGATGCGGGCCAGCCGGCGGCCATTAATCGCATTACAATGCAGGCAGGCGGCAGGTAATAACATCCCAGCCATGGTCAGCAAGCATCTCATCATCGTCATCGTCATCGACACCTGGCAGGCGCCACAATGGCCAACAATGGCCATTTGCTCACCTGGTACTTGATGGTCTGCCGGTAGAGGGGCTCCGCCGCGTGCCGCACCACGCGCGTCTTCTTCTTGTGCCGCAGCCGGTCCCCGTCCTTGATGTAGCACTTCACGTACGTATCCGGCGGAGTCTCGCAGTCCTCGTTGACAATGTTACGGGCGCAGATTAGCTGCGAACGAGGATAGTAAAAGATGGCAATAAAACATGGCTGCTGGAGTACGAGTATTGTGTCATGTCTCGAGGAATCATAACCAGGAACCAGGAACTAGTGCAGCCTCCATTCGAACTTCCTACCTCGACACCTTGTTCGTGCTTTATCTTATAGAATGCGAGCAAGGAAGTGCCTGTCTTCTTTTCTACTTATACCAAATTATGCTTAAAGAAGGAACATTATATAGTATATAGTGAATGCTGATGAAACAGTGTGTAAAAATTATCCAATTAATTACAGTTGGCTAGCCTCCCATGAAATAGTTGGTACTTATTTAAAAAAATCTTAATTTTATCTCTTTCTTAATGTTTCCCAATTATTCAATTAAACCCTTTCTATTTTCCCAAATCGATTTTGCAAAGTGTTTATTGATGGGGATGCTAAGATAAATCTTACTTTACTTTGAGAAGCACTCACCTCCACCTCGACGTTGCCCTTGATCTTGAGGAAGCCCATCTTGAGCTCCCCGTACCGCGCGGTGGTCAGCCGGTAGCCCTTCGGATGGATCTGCGAGGGGCCCAGCTTGAGTCCGTAGCTGGACTCCCCGCCCGTCAGGGGCGACGTGTTCACGTAGCTGCCGCTGAGCGTCTTGACCACGCTCTGCTTCCGCTGGGGACTGTCGCCCACGGAGGAGGACTCCCCGGACAACCCCACAACCCCACTCCGCTGGTAGACGCTGCCCTTGCGGGTGGGCGTGCCCAGGGGCGGGGTCTCGGTGACCTTGGCCACGTACATGCTGCCCTTCCGCTGCAAGGTGGTGGTGGTGGTGCTGGGGGCCTGGCTCTCGCCCAGCTGGAACATGCTGCCCTTGCGCTGCTGCAGCGGATTGGTGGCGAGCAGCTGGCCCTGGCCACGGGCATCCGGGGATGCAGCCACGTTCGTGGCGGAGGCCGCCTGCTTGAGCCGGGAGAGCGCCTGCTTGGGACTCTGCGGCGGCAGCTGGCTCCCCGATCCCTTCCAGCGCGGCCGGTAGCGCTTGTCCTCCTCCTCGGACGGCGGACTCGTGTCGGCGGTGGCCAGGCCCAGGGGCAGGTTCTGCTGCAGGTACTGCTGCTGCTGCTGCTGCAACTGCAACTGCTGCAGCTGCTGCAACTGCTGCTGCTGCTGCTGCGACAGGTCCAAGACGGAGCTCTTCCTGCTGTTCGGTCCGCTGGGGAGTCCCACGCGACTGGCACCTGTTCAGGCGGGGATCGGGAGTTAGTGGTTGTCCTAATGAAGGTTCAAGCGCTTTCGAACTCAACTCAAATTACCAAGTTTTACTGGCAGTGATGGGAAAACTACCGTTAACTATACTATAAATCTACTTTTGTTGATGGTGAAGGGTGATGAGGTTGGAAATTATAAGATCCTACTCATTAAATTGAATGGAAATTCAGTCAGAAGAACACACGAATAGGATCTGATTCAAAATGAAAAAGTGATATCCAGAAATTGTATTTTGGATTTTCCTATTTTAGTTGCTTTTTTACAAATATTTATTTTTCTCAGTAAACTGCACTTAGGTAAATTCAACTTAAAAGCAATCGAAGTAATGTAAATAAAATTCTCTTTAAACCCTTTGAGATCCGTTTATTTATTTATTTAACCTAGACCATCTGGCTAGTTCCCATCACTGTTTTTGGAGGGGCGTAGAATGGAGGGAGCTTGGGAACTAGGACTAAGATTAGAAAATGGGAAAGCTACGTCGAACAAAGCATGCAAGCTAGCTAGGAACATCAAAATCAGGCACTACTGTTTCGGATTTATTGGAGTTCGTTTGTTTCATGTTTCGTTTTCAGTTGGCTTAGAAAGATTCGGTTCAAGATGCCGGTAATGGACGTGGACACCGCGCTGCAGACCATAGGTGAGCTCATCCCACTCATCCCAGTTCTTACTACGATCTACGATCGATCTCCTCCAGGCTTTGGCTGCGCGCAGGTGATCATCTTCTGGGTGAGCTTCTTCCTCTACATGTACTCCGTGTGCGAGTCGATGAGCATCTCCTACCTGGTGGTGCTCACGGCCTGCGAGTTCGCGACGACGCAAGGGGAGAAGACCTTCCTGGCCAGCTCGGTGCTGAGCGGCATGGTGTTCTCTGGCTTCTTCGTCGGCTTCCTGGCGGACAAGTACGGGCGCAGGCGAGTGATTCTGATCTCGCTGATCGGAGCTCTGACCGCCTCCGTGATCTCGGTCTTCATGCCGGAGCTCTACTCGCTGGCCATCATGCGGATGGTCGTGGGGATCTTGTAGGTGAATGCCTCCCTCGAACGGACTCCTCCTAATCCCCTCCTGATCCCTCGCACAGCCTCTCCGGACTCGCCTCCCTGCAGGTGGCCTTCCTGGGCGAGTTCTACGCCCCCAATTGGCGACCCACCGTGGTCACCGTGTGCAGCCACTCGGTGACAGCGGCGCTCATCTACTGTCCCCTGGTGGCCATGTTCTACCTGCCCACCAACTACAGCTGGCTGGTCAGCAGCAGCTACAACATGCGCACCTGGCGCTTCCTCATGCTGATCGTCCAGATCCCCGGCTGGATCACCCTGGTGGGCCTGCTGTTCGTGCCGGAGACGCCGCACTTCCTCATGTCCGTGCAGCGCCAGGACCAGGCCGTGAAGGTGCTCCAGTGGATCGCCCGCCTGAACAGGAAGAAGTGGGAGGACTTCGACATCTCGCTGGCCGAGGACCCGCGCAAAACGATCGTCGAGCAGCAGAGCTTCTTCCGCAACTTTATTTACGAGAGCTTCCGCCTCTTCCAGCCGCCCTACGTGGTTACGTACGTCATCAGTCTGCTGCTCATCTTCGGGCTGTTCTTCACGTGAGTGGCTCTGCTTGGTTGGCCTATACCTCCCATTTCCAATGGTGCTCCCTTGCAGATCCCTTGGCCTGGGCATCTGGTTCCCGGTCATCCGCAACATGGACAACTCGGGCGACAACCGGCTGTGCGACCTGGTGGTCCAGAACCCGAACATGCACGACCTCGAGGGGTCGGCCAACGCCACGGAGGTCGAGCCGCCGGTCTGCGTGGACACGATGACCAACCTGGTGGACCCCATCTACTACGCCCTGGCCTACATGGGCTGCTACCTGCTCTCCACGCTGCTGCTGCAGTGCCTCATCCGCAAGTACGTGCTCACGCTGCACTGCTCGGTGGCCTTCATCCTGGGCGTTTCGCTGAACGGCCTTTCGCAGCCGACGCTGGTGCTGATCTGCTTCGTGGGCATGATGACGATGCCCGGGGTGCTCATCCCGCTGGCCACCTCCGTGCTCATCGACGCCCTCCCGATCCACCTGCGCGGCAAGGCGATCTGCATGGTGCGATCTCTGGCCAGAACCGGAGCTGTTCTCGGCAGCACCCTGGTGGGGTTCCTCATCCACGTCTCCTGCGACCTCACCCTCAACGTGTTCAACTTCTACCTGGCAGGTGAGTTGGGTCTTGATTTTGCCATTCACTGATGACTCTGATCACTCTCTGGTTTTCAGTCTGTATCGTCCTGACCATCTTTCTACCCAAGTAACGGCCACGTCTGCAAACCCATCTAAATTGTGCGTGTTTTATACAGTTGGTTCCCAGTTTGCAAGGAAATGATTCTCAATTGACTGTCCAGGATTATGAAGTAACCCAATAGCATTGTATAGCATTTGCAGTCAAAATGCTAGGTACAAACCGCTTACCCTCCTTCCACTTTGTAGTGTGTAATCTGGTCTGCATGTACATTCTAAACTTTGTAATCTTGATAAATCTTTCAATGAAGATTTTCCGAACAAAAACATTACTCGTCGGTTTGGGGAACCGGTTTCTCAGCAATCCATATTTATGTGTTAGGCCTGGTTCCCTTTTGTTTTTTATAAAACATGTACATTTGTAGAGCTTTGCCAGAGACATCCCAACGATGAGTGACATAGACGAAGTGTTTGCCAAGCTGGGTGAGTCGAGCCCGCGGGCGAGCTTATCAGCACCGCCTGATCCCAGTGGTCCTTCGGCAGGATTCGGCAGGATGCAGTACCTCATGCTGTTCGCCTGCCTCTTCGTGCAGCTGTGGCTCACCAACGAGCAGCTGGGCATCGCGGTGGTGATCGCCGGGGCCAACTGCGAACTCAAGCTCAACAACGAGCGGATCTCCTGGCTGATGGCGGCCAACTTCGCCGCCCAGATGCTCACCTGCTTCATGTGGGGCGAGCTGGCGGACAGGTTCGGGCGGCGGAGGATCATAGTCTGCGCGGGCCTCTCCGCCAACCTGCTCTCCATCCTGTCCGCCTGCATGCCGGAGTACTGGTCCTTCCTGGTCGCGCGGACTCTGGCTGGGTTCTTGTGAGTACAACGGACTTTCCCCGCTCTCCCTCTACTTTCATTCATTCATTTATTCCTCCGCAAAGCATCTCCGCGTTGGTGGTCTCCCTCATGACCTACCTGAGTGAGTTCACCAAGGTGTCGCTGCGTCCCAGGGTGCTCAACTTCATGAGCTACGCCTTCGGGCTGAGCATCATCTACGTGGCGAGTAAGAGTCGGAGCAATACCTCGGAGTAAACCCTTTCCTTAGGCTTATTTTCGCTATTCGCCAGCGCTGGCAGGAGTCCTGCTGAACCTGGAAAGCGATCCCGTGCAAGGCTGGCGCATCCTGCTGCTGTGCAACCAGCTCCCCGGACTCCTCGGCCTGGGCATCCTGCTCTGGCTGCCCGAGTCGCCCAAGTACTTCCTGTCGATCGGCGATGAGGAGAGGGCCTTGCGGGTGATGGAGAGGGTCTGTCGGATGAACAAGGGCAAGGACGCGACCCTGGAAAGCTTCGGGGTGGGGTCCCTCACTCAGCCCCGTCTCACCCGCGCGTAGGGATCACCTTTGTCCTAGTTCCTTGTTTGGTCCCACTTAGACCTCCTTTTGCTTTTCAGGTCAATGGCCTTTGGACGGTGTTATGAGACCAGGACTCTTCTGGTCCAATACACCAAATTCATGTGTATTTTCTCCGTCATCTTCTTTTCCCTGTGTGGAATGTGAGTTTGAGCTTAGTTGGTTAAACAGGGAAAAGTAAAAACTGTTTTTTATCGTTCCAGTGCCTTCGCAGTGCCCATTTGGATGGTGCGAATCAGGGTTCTCACTTCTGAGTGTGAAGACCGCCTGACGGTCTGCGAACACTTGGAGGGCCACAGCCCCAAGCAAAGCCATAAGGTAAGTCTTGATTAATGGATAGATTTAGATAAGCTCTTTATTTTCACACTCCTCCAAAGTGCCGCTTGGGCTACGAGGAAATGAAGGACCAGCTCATCCACGGCTTCGTCGTCCTCGGCATCTTCGTGGTGACCAGCCTGCTCCTGATCTGCACCAACCGCAAGGTGGTGATCTTGTTGTACATAGGAGTCGCCGCCAGCGGCTGCGTGCTGCTCAACGTGGTGACGCGCCCCTACGTGATCCTGGCCAGCTTCCTGATCGTGGTGGATCCGCCCCTGTGCAGCATCAGGCTGGTAAGCACCATCCTCATAGATTTGGTGCCCACTCGCTTAAGGTAGTTCTTATGTTTGTGGAAACCCATCCTTACTCCCGAGTTGCTTTCCAGGGGAAAGGCCCTGGCCTTGTCCAGCATGTTCGGTCGCTGCGGCGTCTTGGTGACCAGCTTGTACGTGGGATACACCCTGTCGAATGTCTGCCTCCTCACCTTCAACCTCTTCATCCTGCTGTTCTTGGGTAAGATGTTGGCTACCAAATGCGAGTACAAGTTCCCACCTCTCCGGTAATCTCCGCAGCTTGCGGTGTCCTCGTGTACTTGCTGCCTTCGGAAATTAAAATGAGGAGCTTAACACTGTGATGTCTCTCCTGGTTTTCCGCACTCAAGTTTGTATACGACTTTGTAAATAAAGTGCTGTTGAGCCCTGTTTGTACTAGCCAACTTTCGGCAACCGTGAAGGGCCTAATTACTCGACAGTCATGCCTCATTAAAACTTTCGCAAGTTGATAAGGCCCGCCAGCGGGTTTTCCCTATCGGCCCTGCCAATCAGTCAATCAATCATTCAATCAATTGGGCGCGCAGCACGAAGCACAAATTCGGTGCCCCCGCTGGCTCGAAACGGAAAAAGGATTATGGCGAAAGTTCAAATATTTCGGAGTCGTGCGCAGTCGAAAATAAAATAAACGTCAAATAAACTTGGCGACAGCTGCGTTTGCTCTCGAGTGTCTCGAGTGGGTTCCTCTGCTCCGCTCCTCGGCCGGCGGATGTGAAGGTGCGTGAGGGAAAGCGGAAACGGAAGGCCAGGCATCGCTAAGCGGCTTAATAATAACTGTCGAATCGAAGGAAAGGAAAGCGGGAGCGAGCAATCCAGAAATCGAGAAAGCATATTGCCAAAGACAGCCGACTTCGACTTTTTGCTGAGCAAGCACAATAATGGCGGCGAACGCTGGGGATCCGGCGAGAATGGAGCTGTCAATCCAGTATGTACAAAATATACAATATATATACAATATATATATAAATATGTGTGAATATGTGGAGCACTTTTCCCAGACGGAGACGCAGCTTTTTTCATATTTAACGGCTTGTTTGTGGCTCTGGGAAATGCGTATCTCGGCTTTGTTCGGTTATCGCGTACGCTCTCCTTTGTTCTGCATTCTGTCTGAGTTTTCATATTTCGCATTTGGCCCGCTCTGAAAAGTTAATTTCAAGGCTGAGCTGTTTCGACGGGGCGTTGAAGGGTTCACTGCCGAGGAAAGCTAACATCTAACAGGTAACGAGGGGCTTCCCCTGCGAGCTGCGCATTTTAAGCGCAAATTTGCTGCCAACTTTGGGGGCCGTGAAAATAGCATCCATAAGCTGGAATAAGTAGCGAGGTTTTGGCGTGTCTCCCGACTGGATTACCGCGGAGTACGTGAGCCTGGACGGGTGTGTAATGAGATTCTGGCTGCTCCTCGGCATGCAGAGGAGCCACTGTACGTACGAGCTGGCGAATCTACTCGGTAATTGTGTGTGAAAGCGGCTAATTAGGTGGCTTGCATGCAGCTGTGTGGCTTAAACTAAGGTGGCAAAGAAAAGAAGAAGAGGCAGGCCAAACGCAACTCAATCTCAATCTCAATCTCAACTCAGTTCATTTGCATTCTTACCAGTGGTGAGTGGTGATGTTGGGTGGTGGTGTTTGTAGTGTGTTCATACTGTAGTCTGGCTAGTGCGTTCTTAATAGACTGCTGCCAAGCTCAGCTAGCAGGCATTCCTAGTTCGTACGGATTCGGTTCTTGTACAATTTACAAAGGTCTGTGGTTCGGTCTCTACCGTTTGTGGTGGCTCTGGTGGTGCAGTGTGGTGCTTGGTGGCTCACTCGAGGTGAGCCCTCCATTGGATTGGCAAAAGAGTTACGATACGAGTGCTGAGGGCTTTGCAGTGCGAATGCGTAAGTTTACTTGTACTTGATTTGGAGCTAATTGAGTTCGTGTTTCTGGTTTCTTGTTTCTTGTTTCTTGCTGGGCAGTTCACCTAGTGTTTTGTCCAGTTTGTGTGGGGAGTGTCAAAGCTTTGGTAATGCGACACCGATATTGTGGCTAATAGTGGGAAAGATACGGAAGAAGACATTAGAGAAAGACAGTGGCAAGTACGAGTGAGTGGGTGTGTGTGGTTGTGTGGATGCGTTCAGATCAGAGGTGTCCAAGTGGCATATAGCATGTAGCAGCAAGGCAAGTCGGGTTCAAAGGTTGGAGGAAATGCAGAGAGAGACAGAGACACAGGAATATAGCGGATAGAAAGAGAAGGCGCAAGAAGCTCTTGCGGTGAGTGATTCAGATCTCGGTTTTGTGGGGGAAATAAAAATACTTTCAGGTAAAATCATCTCGGACTCGTACCGAAAATAATAAAACATAAAATACCACGAACATTTGGCGATGGTAACTATACTCTAGGTATTATATTTTCTAGATCTGAAAGGGAATCCTAAAGTAAAAGAGGGTTTTAGGAATAATGTAGAATATTTTGATTGACTAACTTTATCCCCCGCCAAATGTTCCTGGGCATTCGGATTAATCTGGCCTCTCCGAATCGCTGAGTACTTCCTTAATTGGACTTTTATTCCCCCTACTCACGTCTCGATCCCATGCGCTTGTGCTGCTCGGTGCCCAGGCTCATGGTGCGCCCCAGCTCGCCGCGGACAGCCTTCAAGGACTTCAGGATCTCATCCGGATCGCGTCGCGCCACGGACGAGCGGCGCCGGCCCACCAGGTAGGAGGTGGGCGGCGTGGCCATGGCGTCCTCCTCGAGCCGGTTCTTCTCGGCGTCCTGGAAGCTCGAGCGACGCGAACCGGGCAATGAGCGCGAGAAGTCCTTGCCCAGCTGGTAGACCTCCACCTCCATGGTTTCCGACTGCGAGGAGCCGCGCCGCGAGCCGGCGATCCAGGCGTGGTCCGGGTGCAGCAGCGAGGCCCCATCCCCGATGGAGTCTACGTCATCGGAGTTGGAGCGCTGCATGTTGTAGTCCCGCCGCAGCAGCCGCGTCACGTCCCCGCTGGGCGCCCCCGCCCCCGCGGCGATGGAGCCCCGCGGCGAGACGCTCGGCGACTTGCTGATGCTGATCCCGCGCAGCCCCTTCGGGTCCTCCAGCCGGCACCAGAGCGCCTGGTCGTCGAGGAAGGCCTGCTGCAGCTCGATGCTGCACTCGCCCAGGAAGATGGACTCCGTGTGCGGCACCAGGTCCCACAGCTGGATGTCTATGTAGCGGTCCATCAGCGTCTCCGCCTTCACGTGCCCGAAGGTCAGCGTCGCGTTCCAGATCGGGTTCTGCGTCGGGCGGCTCACCTCCGTCTGCTGCACGCTGCCGTCGCCGCTGTTGGAGGGAGTTGGAGGGAAACACATTCAATTTAGGAGCTGCTCTTACGGGAAACATTCTTCTTATTCGAAAGCTTTGAAAGTAAGTAAGCAAAAATATTTCCTGGGCAATTGATGACACTGCAGGTGAGTACTATACTTTATTACTATAATAAGAGATGGCAACAAATTTGTTTACTTCATTAAAAATCTTGATTTTTACTCAAAAAATAACCATTTTAGCTATAGCAATCGAAATATTAGCCAGAAAATGGAATGCCATACTTCGAAAGACTTGTAATCACACCCCTAATCGATTGGTATTCAAATCTGAAAATTTTTAATTTTGGCTATTTTTCGCAAAAAATTATGATGTTACCCCTTACCGAAAATGCGAAAAATGGCAAAAAAATAATTTTTTCGAAGTCTTCCAAAAAGTGATATGGGTCGTTAGCTGAGGTTGTTTGCTATTAAAATCTGTTAGCATTTTTGCTTTTGGATCATTTTTGACCAAAATACGACCAAAAACCTATATGAAAAGGTACTACAAAATCCTATAAATTTCCCCTAAGACGTTAGCAAGAACCATAAAGTAGTGTTCACTCACCATTTGGGAAGGATGCGGACCTTGGCGTATGCCTCCGGCAGATTGCCGTGTCCGTAGGCCTCGTCGCGGAGGGCGAGGTCGTCGCCGGCCATCAGGGAGACGACCAGCTCGCTGCGCTCCGCGTGGTACCACACCTGGATCTGGACCCTTCCGGTGACCAGCTTCTCGCGGGCAATTTGCTCCTGCGGCGAGCAAAAGTGTCGTTAGTTTTCGGGTCGGAGCATCTCGAACTGCGAATTGCGTTTGCCTCGCCATTCGATTCGACTTTCGGTTATCGCTAGGATATATGGTACAGTCTAGATTTATCAGCCTAGAGCCTAAACAAAAGCGTTTCGCTCGCCGCGCCTATTTACAGGTTTGTGGGCTGGCGAGTTTCTGCGTTTTTCGTGTTCGTTTGGATTTTTGTTGTGTTCTGGATGTGTGAGTGTGAGTGTTCGTAACTGAACGGCAAATTAAAGCAATCAAAACGTAAATAAAACTAATTAAACGAGTGAGAACGAAGGGGTGGCTGGTGGCTGGTGGTTGGTGGCGGGATGGGTGGGCGGTGGCATGCCGGGAAAGTTGCAACAGTGGCCCTCGGGGCAAGTGCACACAGGATACACTAAAAACTGAAAACGAAACTGAAGAGCAGGCACACACGAACACACGAGCATAATTCAAACGCAAATTATGGTGTTCGCACTAGGAAGCACTGGAAGAGCGGAGTGCATGTGTTCTCTATTTACAAAACGCAAAGCACACATGCTCAGATAAACAAAGCGCACCGCAAATGCAATCTGCTCGGGGCCTTTGTCTGCTGTTTTGTGTTTTGTGTTCTGTGTTTTGCGAGCCCCAAAACGGAAGTCATTGCGGCGCAGCGGCGCATGAAGGTCCATTTCTGCCCCATTGTTGGTGTAGTTGGTGCTGAAACTAGCATTATGTTGCACACATGAAAACACGGCAAAACAACTCGTTATACTGCCAGAATTGACTCCTTAATTGATCAGATTTCATTTCTCATATTGGTTTTGTAAGCTCCCCAATTGAAATTTTGACATTTCTATTAACTCTTGCTACGCTTCAAATATAATTTGTATACTGAGGCATTGAGTAGTGAAAATCCTATAAAATCTATTGTTCACCTATTCTTCCTGTGTGCTGGTAGTTGGTAGTTGGCAATATCGTGGTCTAATTACATATTCATGGCGGGTACATGCGCAACAGCAACAGCAACACCACAAACACACGAGCTGCCGAATTGACTTTCTCCATGGCGGATCTGCAGCGGAAGCCGCCATATTGCAATAACGTGTTGCGAGCGGAAATGGAGCCCACCCACACACACACACGCACGCAGACGAGCAGACGCACACAAAAGTGCGAACTGTTGCTCGGCAACTTTTACGAGCGAAAAGCAAAGGAAAAATATTACATTATGCCGCGCACTTTTCATCTGTGGAAATCGAATTCGTGCTGGGACCCCGAAGAAGGCGGTCGGAAAATCGGGGAGGGGATGTTTATTTTTATCTCAGGTGAGCAGGCACATGTACTCGCAGGATTATTGGAGTTTATCTGGCATCAGGCAGGCGCCGGCGATAAAAGCCTAAGCACTTGAAAACTTTGGGCCGCCGTCGTCGTCGTCGATAATAATAATAATAATGGCGAAGGCCCGCAAAGGAGAATTGTTGTTAAAAGTTTTCTAATTTTCGACATTTCGAGCTCTTACGGCCCCCGGCTGTCAATTAAAGGGCGACAGCACCTGTTGCTGACAAGTCCGCCGGGACAAGAAGACAGAAGTCGCCGGGATCCTTGGGGCTCCACTTGACACCTGCCCGGCGGTTTTGCTTCTGGGATCCGAAACTTTTGGGCGACCGCAGCTCCCCCTTTTCCGCCTGGAAGATAACTCAAAGTGACACAAAAGTTTGCGGCAAAAGTTGCGTATGAATAATAAACAAAGGCATGCCAGTAAATCAGTAAATGGGAAGCGGGACAAACACATACACAGACAGCTAGGTACAGTATATACACAAAATGAACGCTAATTACGTATGGCATATGCTACGGTTATACGGTTATACGGTTAACAGATATTTACAGGGGAGTCGGGCGGGGTTATTGCTTTCAAATCGAATTGATTATGCCTCGGGTCGTATGCATATCGTGGGTTAACGGATTACATTCAACAGATCAATCAATCAATCAGTCGCGAGGAAGGCGGCACAGCTCAATCAATTTCACGACAGTCGTATTACTCTCGCTTTCAATTTGTACATATATAATATTTAGTTCGGTTTTCGGTTGTGCGCCTCGCTTTTCGAGGTTTCTGGTTTCTGGTTCTTTTGGTTTAGTTTTAGTTTGGTTTTGGTTTCTGTTTAGCCATAACTCGTGCCAGCTGGGGTTACATTGGTAGTACAGGAAATGAAAACTGTTTGTATACAATCAGCATGTTATTTATAAGTATCGTAGGGTGTTTAGCAGTCGTAGGAGAGATGCTACGAGTAGTCGGTTCAAGATTCAAGAGCCACTAATTTCTAGTCAACTTAGGCGAAGGCTTATGCAAATTAGGCAAAATGCAAACAAACCAAGGCGAGGAACTCGGGAATCTAGGATAAATCAACTCAACAGCAAACCGAAAACAAGGAACCGAAAAAACCGAATAGTGTGTGTGGTGTTTGGAGTGGTGTGGTTTCTTCTGGGTTCTGTTCTGTGACCCTGGACAAAAGTACTGCTGGTGGAGTAACCCTGGTATCTAAACAGGTATCTAAGGTACATTAGCGCACAATGAGCCGAAAGGATACGTTGACTAAAGTGTGTGTGTGTTCTGGTGTGTGTGGCACGGCTTCGCTTTGGAGGTAGGAGTACGAGTATATAGATTCATACTGCGGGGGAGCGGATCTATAATTATGTTAAAGAGTAGTCCGCAGTCGGGCAGTGGAAGTATGCAAAGCCAAACTGAACAGACAGATCCAAAACAAACGAAACGAGGCGGCAGAGTCGAGACGAAAGTAAAGGTAAACATTTGCCAAGCGAAAGCCAAACAAAAGCTCATAAATTGACAGAGAGGTGGAAGCACGGTGTGTACAGGGGACAGCAGGAGAACAGGAGAACAGGAAAGCAGGAGAGAAAACAGGGCGTATACGCAATAAATAAAACGGAACGCAACCGAGGCGAAAATAAACGCAAATCGTAACGCAGCATTACGTAAAACAGAACGGAACGGAAACAGAAACAGAAACAAAAGGAGGAAAAGCGCACTTTACAATACATATTGACTGGAGGGGGCTTTACAAAGTATCTTTTGGATCCTGGCTATAATACACTGGTTGCCGGTCAGGACTTTGCTTAAGTAGCTTCGTTCTCTAAGGATAACGGGTGCTAACTGTACAAGGCTGCGGTCTCTAGTATTTATATATATAAACGAGTAGTTTTGGGTTGCTTAATGTACAGGGTACTTGAGATATAGTTGCTGTTCATTTACCATTTGACTGATGGCTTCGGGTTTGCTCGGGTTGCTGATGGGTGGGTGGAACTGCGGATGTGCGGATATGCGGATGTTCAGATGCTGCGAAAGGATACAAAGCAAGTCCAGGCAAGAGATTCCCAATGGTTTGCACGCGGTTCGTTTGTTTGCAGTTAAATAGAGAGACTTTATTTCACATTTCTTTGTTAGCCATTTTCAGTTAGATTTAGGTTTCTAGCACATTTCGGTGCGCGGTATACGCATTAGTGACTATAACTGGTTGTATATGGGTATATATTCAAGTATCGTATAGCGTAGAGTCGCAAGTGTATACATATGCTTTCGAACAAATCTCAACCTCGAGCTGCGCAAGTACGTTAGTGCAAGTAATCTTAAAATCTCATCAGTTTGCGGGTCTCCTTCCAGAGTTCCCTTCTTCGGGGACCTTCACACCTGCCCAGGCGACCTCGTAAGGGTTCTTAGTGGTATTTAGTTACAGTTAATCCAGTACAGGTATAGTTACACATAGGTTAGAGTTAGAGTTACATTTAGAGTTACAAGTAGAGTTACGATTACAGGTAGGTTTCTATACAGAGTGTCGGATCGAAATCAACGTTAGTTAGTTAGTTATCACCCATCTGACAGGAGTTACTTAGCTACAGAGCATCTGAGGAAGGTGAACGAGTGCTCAGCCGGCTCCTCGGAGTGAATCTGCACCCATCCCTCCCCCTCCTCGATTCTTAGCACTTGTTCACGATACTTAAATACGATTCGAGTCGCTTTCGAATGCACGAGTATCTATGTAGGTGGGCTCCACAGTGTGCGCCTTCGCCTCCGTTCGCTTTCCTTTCACTTTCACCTTAACTTTCACTTGTTCGATTCGAGATTGAGTAACACAGCTCTAACAGAGGGTCTACAAATGCGCACAACTCTCGGACTTAGTCGTGTACCAACATATATAGTATGTATATTTAGTATAAGGTATCTCGGGTACTTTGGCTTAAAAACACATTTAAACATTTCAACAACAAACTACTTTTTTTGGTTGTCCAATTGGTTGTTTTTCGATTTGCTTACGATTAGGGTAGTATGTGTACATATATCGTAAAGTCAATAACATTTAAAACACACACAAATATCGTTAAACTCTGTTCGCTACAAATTCGCACTAGTAACATTTATAAAGATTATGCTATTTTACTTTATGACTGGCCCGAGCGGGCGTTACATTAGTTCTTCTAGTTCTCAGTGGCTCCTCGGCATTATTGTATCGATTCGTAGGGCCTAGGGGTCCTACGCAAGCGGAGTGGGGTGGCTCAATTCGATTCTCGAGTGGAATTATCATAGACACGCACCTTACGTTACGTTGCGTCACGTTACGTCGCGTTGCGTTGCGTTACGTTAAAACTTTATATCTTAGACCCTATTGTTGGTGCTTTGTTCTTACTGTGACCCGGGGCAATTGGATTGCCCGCGAGGAGAAGGCTCAACCAAGGAAAAACAGATTGGAAACGAAAACCGACTCGGTAGAGTGTGTACTGTACCGGAGTCCCTCCCTTGAGCGTCCACTCCTCCTCCGCGAAGAAGTCGCTTAGTGCTACTTAACCGTATTACACGTTAGTGGGCTTGTTAGTTAGTATTTACTGCTCGAAATCACTAGTTCTACCACACCGAAAAATAAACAGACGAGTATGTAGGTACATCTGGTGGTTATATGACAAGAGTAGCATGAACACATTTAGCCATTTCGCATGGTTAGTAATTAATCAACTGTAGTGTGAACTCAACAGCAAAGTAAGGAACTCAAATCGGGGAAACACATAGAAACAAGGAGTGGAGTATCACTGGCAGCTACGGATAATGTCTGTATGAATGTGTTACAAACGGAAACGGAAACGGAAAAGTCAAAGGAATCGTTGAATCTGCGGTGACTAGAAGGTGAGTATTATATATATATATATATTCATGGCATCAAAGCTGCAATCGAGTACGAGGAGTCAATCATTTCGTGAGCACTTGTGAAGCTGAAATCGTGTGGAAAACTGCTGCTGCTGATGCTTAAGCTGCATTTGATGGCTTGCTAATACTTAGTATGCAAATGGATTTAGTTTTAGCTTTAGTTTTTGTTTTTCGGTTTTCAGTTTGGTTGCACATAGCTCGGTGTGTTCTCGTTAGGCGGTAGTTTCTCTAGAGTCTAGAGTCTAGAGTCTAGAGTATCTCTATAGTATCATATAGTATGTTCGATCCTCGACTGCTGCCGCAGCTTAGGCTTCTTAACCAAGTGAGTAAACGAAATAGTTTTATACCGGGGTTTTTGGTAGTTTCCGTCTAGTTGGCGACGCCGGTGATTTGTCTGTGGTGGTTTCGGGTTCTGTTTCGATATTCGAGATTCGTTGTTAGAGTAACGAGAAACGAGAGCAACAAATGAAAATTATGTGAATGTCATATCTGTATGCACATAAATGTTGGAATTCGGTTAAGTATTTACAGGGGGGCGAGGGGAATCAGGTGGGAGAATCTCAAGGAGGACTTACCCGCAATCAGGCCAAGACCAACGGGTCCATCTCCGGACCGCCGAGGTCCGCTCTGACCGCCGGCGTTGCCGGGCGGCAGGTTCTCGTCGAACAGGTCGCACATGCGGAAGTCCGTGGCGTGCTCCACCAGAAGCTCCACGATGTCCCCGGTGCGGTCCATGATGGAGCAGACCTCCTCGAAGCTGCGGTCGATCAGCGACATTCCGTTCCACTCGAGGATCTGTCATAAGTATCACACAAGAACTATTGCTTACATTTCTTATGAAGAAATTCTCCTACTTAATTTGGTACTACTGTTAATAATACCATTAATACATTTTAAATATCCAATGATAGTGATTCTTTTCACAGTGCAATCCGTGCCGAAAGCCATCAATCAAGAGCTATTAGCTCCTGGCTGGCCGCACTTCCCCGCCCTTCGAGCCACTGCCAATCAGGGATGTCTGGCCTAAGCCACTGACCCAACCAGCACTCACCTTGTCGCCCTGCTGCAGGCCATTCTTCTCGGCGGCGCCTCCCGGAACGGTCCACACAATGTAGGCGAACAGCCGGCCGTCCGCTCCCGTCTTCCCGCCGACGACGCGCATCCCGAAGCCACGTGCTGCGGAGAGGGAGGAGACAATGTCAGATTCAATAAGAGCCGGGCTCACGCACTAGGCGATTAGGCCGAGAGGACGGAATAATCAATACGGCCCCGAAAATCGGAGACTGCGACTAGGCACGTACTCGCAGATACAGATACAGATACAGATACAGTTACAGATACAAATTTCGGGCATGTGGCAACAATTTGCGTTGATTTCATTTGCACTTTGCAGCGCCAAAAGTCGCAAGCCAAAAATCCCACCCCACGTTGCGTATACGCCCTGTTTCCCTCCCCGTTTGTCTGCTAAGTTTCCCTTTCGCCAACTCAGCGAGTTTGCCGGGGATGAATGTGCTGCTGTGCTGCTGTGGACTGCTTTCACTGTTTTTCTTTCGCCCAAATTTGACACAAATTTATTTCTCCAGCGTAAACTTGACCCCCTGGACATTTATAACAATTTGAGTGGACAAAGTGCTTTAAAGCACACTGTTTATTCGGTTTAAAATGTTATTTTTGCAGGCGAGCTTAGAAATTCCTTTGAAGCCATGTTCTCGTGGCCAGTGGCATTGAAACCATACAAATAATGATACGCTTTCGAAGTGCATTTGAGGTCTGAGAGAGTTTTGGTTTTGGTTTTGTTCTCGGCGCGCAAACAATTTAATTAATTAAATTGCAATTTCGGGGCTGCAGTTCAGTTTCAAGCACTTATCATTTGGCGCAGAAAACTAATTTCAACAATTTGCGCACCGAAAACTTGGGAAAGCGGATTTCCGCCGCCGGAGGACGGGCTGCAGACAATGGCCAGGAAAGTTAACCAGCCACCGGAGCAGCGATGACAATGAAATTGCGTCTCCAAGGTGAGCTTTTCGCAGGGCTCGCAAGAGGAGGAGGGACGAAGGAGCTGAGGAAGGTAAGGCAGCCGGAAGGACAGCTCGGCAGGTCGAAGTTTTGCGCAGGAAATGGCGGCAAACTTGGCCAGTATGCAATAAAATGTTGCGCATCCGCCGCCGCTGTTGATTCAGGCGCATTGATACCCAATTAGGATGGGACGACATTCTCTCCAACAGCGGAGCCCGCTGTTTGCGGAGTGTGTCTTAATCAAAAGTTTTTTCCCGGGCGCCGCCTTAAGACTGCAATAAAAACGATATAAATAAAAGGCAAATCCTTCTGCTGACAGCGCGGAAAGGCCCAGATTATTCGATGACGCCACGCTTTTCGGGCAGCTCGCGATTAGTGCACTTCAACAAAAGTATATCTAAACTGGAATATAATTGATTGACTTTCCATTAACCGATAATTGTATTTCCTTTACTCAAAGTACTCTCAGTTGAATTTTAATACTATATAAATTCTGTATGAGTAAATTCTTGAACTTGAAAATATTTAATGATAAATGCGATTTGAGCATTAGTCTTTTTTCGAGTGCAGTCATTTGCCTTAAAGCCCGCACTTAACGTGGCGCAGAGTGAAATTTTCGATTCGTTTTGGCCATAAAAATCATGAGTGGAGGTAAGGTCTCTGTTTTTCCATGTCGAAGGACCTTTGTCTCTTTGTTGTTCCGCTCTCCCACTGCCCACCAACCGATTTCCACTGTCCGCTGGCCTTTTCCGTGCGTATTTGCCATTCTTGGACGGCCGGACTTTATGATACAATTTGTTTGCCGGATGGCCGACGATTTTTTATGTGGCCATCATTGGGATTTAATAAGCCGGCGCACATCCACACAAAGGTGTGTTGTTTATGGCCAGGGATCTGGGATCGGGGTTCGGGACTTCGGCTTATTCCTATTCGGGGTATCCGTTTCCTTTGTTGGCCAAGGGCCGTAAACATGCTGGCAAATTGAATCAACATTTGTGTGTATGGAGGTCATTACGGCCAGGACCCCAAACTTTGAGGGCCTACACCCTTTAACAGGCTTAAGCCACTCAAGTTTTCGCAAAATCCACCCCGTTTGGTTTTTACTTTAATTGGAAAACTGTCTCCGAGCTCCGCCTTTAAATTTCTTCTGCTGTTTCCCTGGCAAGTTTTAATTTGTGCCGTGTCCTTGCGTCCTTTCTGCCAGGCAGACACATGCTGCACATCCCCGTAATGGCATTAAGTGAGCAAACTTTCAGCTGACACACATCGAACGACTTAATCGATGCACACCTGCCTGCATCCTGGTGGAGGTCCCAGGAGCCCTGCATCCCTTTCCCGTCCCATGGAGCCATGGAGCCATGAGCGTAAGCGATTTAGTGGCTTCTATCAGCTGCTATACAGATTGGCTCTTAATTAAACTAGCTAAGCGAGCGCAGAGAAAGTGCTAGCATGTGCTAGTCACCATTTTCTTTTCAGTGGGTTAAACTTACAAACCAGATCGAGCAGGGGAGAACTTAAAATTCAAATGTTAAAGGTACAGTTCTCATAAGAAAATGGGTCTGTTGACCTAAGTTATAAATATATTCCCCCCACTTTTCTCCGTGTGCCATAATAGAAAACGGCTCGATTTGAGTGAGTTGTGAGTTGGCGAAGAACTATGAACAGGCAGCCGAGCGAGCACTTAGATGTTATGGGCGAAGGGGGCGTGGCACGTGGCCACCTGTGGCTGAGGAAGGCGAGCACGGAATGCCAGGATCCGGGCTTCGTGATTCGCCGCAATAAATGGATGTGTGTATGTGGCTCATGAGGCTGCATAAAATTTCATTAGGCGTGCTAAGGCGCCATTTGGCGCTACACCTCGACTTCCCAGCTGCTTGGCTGGCCGAAACCCCTCCGGCGATTAGCAGTTGCTATCGGAACACTTAAGGCGATGCAGGAGCCGCTGGCAACAATCGAGTTACACGCAGCCAGCGAATGCCTAATTAGCCATGCGAGTGCAGCGGCTAATTGCGCACCTGCGAAAGTTGAGGTAGAAATGGTGCTCAAATTACAAGGCATCCTCCTCCGCTCGGTCGATAAATTCGGAGGAATTGCAGCACAGCTGCCGCAACCGCAAGGCGAACAAGCAGGTAAGTGAAAAGACGCAGCACAAGGACACGGATAGGGATAAGCACAAGGATGTGGAGGAGGAGGTGGATGTGGAGGTGCGCAACAAATACCAGCAGGCAGCAAGCAGAAATGGCTCAGCACATTAAAATTCCACTTGCTCCGCTGCATATCAAATATGCCCGGCTAAGCAGGCTCCCCGCCTCCTCCTCCCGCCCCTTCTGATATATAGACAAGAAGGCCCTCGAGAGTGGTGCCCCGCACGATATCCTGCGTGGCGAACTACACCACAGAACGCCACCCACTCCGCATTCCAAGCCAGTCCATTCCACTCCACTCCACTCTCCCTTTAACCTCCTGCACTGCAGCTGCTTGTGCGTATTTGCCGGGTATTGACATTTTTTATGATATGCAAATTGAAATTTTATATTAGCAAGCGCACGTCGCACAGGTGGCTAACCGGTGGGAAAAAGGGAAGAGGGGATGTGTGTGCCCCGGCAGCCAGCGGCTAGTTATTTTGATTGGTATTATAGGCGCTCGTTAAGAGCTCTCCACAGGATCGCACTTCATGAGCTTTAAGGGAATTTTGAGGGGATATCAGAGGTGCGTCATAGGTACGAAGGAATGTTGTTATTAAAATTAAATGATATTCAAACAATTTATTTGTTACTCCATACAAATAATGAAAACTAATATATATGGTTTATGTACCATTCCAATCGCTGTTTAAATAGCTTCTGATATTCCCACTTTCTGTGCTGAAATGCCTCGCCTTGAAGGTAGAATTTATTCTTCAGGAAACTGGCAATCATTTCCACTTGCAGCTGCTTTATTTGCCCAACTTTTCACTCTCAACTCACAGTTTGCTCTCTGTCCCTGCCTTTCTAGTTACCAGTTGCTGCCACTATTTTGAAATGTGGAATTCGGCTTTCCCCTGTCGAGAGTGCATCTAAGTGTCGAGGATTCAAGCCCCCCTTCGACCAGAGCGAATGGCAGTCGGCCAGGATGTTGGCCACTTTTCACTGCATTCGACTGGCATGTGCTCATAAACTGGCCGAGAGCAGCCCATGCATGCATGCATATGCCAAACATTCTGGGGCATTATTATTTATGGGCAGCAGGGCGTGAAGTTCTCCTGTTTCCCCCGCCTTTTTGTTCCCTTTCAATTCTTTTTGGGTTGTTCTCGGAGGAAAAAAGGAGGAACGTTTGCACTCGCCTTGAAACCTAATGTTCACGCTCACGTTCCTCTTCGTATTGATTTTCGTGCTCCGGTCCGCTGTCGATAATTAAAAATTCATTTGGCCTGCTTTCCCGACTGACTGGCCCCTTGAGGTATGCAACAAAAATGCATATAATTAAAATACATCCACAGGAAGTGGGAAACAAAGCGGGGAAATGAAACCCCGACCCACACGCTCACGTATCCTCATTCACACACACAGTCGCCTGGCATTGGCCAACAATGCCGAGCAGCTAAGTGTCCTTTATAGTGGGTGTGCCTCTGTGTGTGTGTTTGTGTTTGTGTTTGTGTGGGGTGTCCTTGCTGCTGCAACTGGGAAGTGGAAAGTGGGAGCTGGTCCGCAGCTCGTAGCTCGCAGCTCTTGGTGCCTTTATGTCGATGAAATCCGCTCAGTTGCTTAATCTGCTACCAGTCTGCTTCCGCTTTGGGTTTCATTAAGGCCCACGGGGGCCAAACCACATCATCCCGGCCGCCCAGCCCGCAACCGTAGCTCTTGTACTTGTACGCTTTGCCGGGGGAATTAAGGTACCCGCAACCGACTTCGTCGCTGCGAACCGAGCGCCTCTCCCTCGAATTAGCATAACCAAGCGCCGTAATGAGTCCTGTTTACTTGCCCATTTCCGGTGCGGTTCCGAGGCAGCAGGACATCAGCATCCACATCAACCGAAGCCGGATGGAGCGGACAAACAATCCGAACTCGACCTCGTTCGCTCACAGGAAAAATATCTCAGCTTCAAGTTGAAGGGACATATTATACTTCACTTAATCAGTTTTTTGGCCATAACGATGGAAATATTCGTCAGAAAATGGAGTGTCATACCTCGAAAGACTCGCAATCACACCCCTTATCGATTGGCATTCAAATCTGGAAACTTTTCATTTTGGCCATTTTTCGCAAAAAATGATGATGTTACCCCTTACCAAAAATGCGAAAAATTGCCAAAAAATCATTTTTTTATAATCGTCCAAAAAGTGATTGGGCTCGTTAACTATGGTCATAAGGAGCACAAAACAGTGTTTGGTTCGGCTGTAAGTCTATTTTTGGCCTTATTAGAACCGAAAAACCACTAAAAATATAGTGTTTTTTACCAAAATTGTCAACTAATCTTTTCCAAATCAGTTTTTAAAAACTAACTAAGGGACAAGTTAAAACGACTATTCAATTGCATTCGGTGACACAGATAGTAGGGCTTCTCTAGTTTCCAAAACTATACTTTCTTTGGCTGTAAGTTGTTTCTTGCCCAAATAACAGACAAATTACCATTGAAAAATGTTTTTTCCCCGAAAACTACGTAAAATTACTCAAATAAGCCCAGTTTTTTTTTGGAATATCTTAAGAAGTACTCTTCCAAATGTGGAATGGCATACGTCGTTGAATTCGGAATAAAATTTCCTATCCGATGGCATTCACACCTAAAATTATTGAAATTTGGCCATTTTTCGCAAAAAATGACGATGTTACCCCTTATGAAAAATGCGAAAAATGGCCAAAAATCATTTTTTTGGAATCGTCCAAAAAGTGATTGGGCACGTTAACTATGGTCATAAGGAGCTCAAAAAAGCCTTTGGTTCCGCTGTAAGTCACTTTTTGTCCTTATTACAACCGAAAAACCACTAAAAATGGAGTGTTTTTTACCAAATTTGTCACCTAATCTTTTCCAAATTAGTTTTTATTAACCTGGTAGGGGATAAATTAAAAGATAAATAAATTTCAATTGTCGGCTAGTTTTTTACCTAAATACGACATAAAAAAACCAAGGATAAGGCTATTTTTGCGCCAAAGGCGAAATCAGCACTTCATGAAAGCGTTGAAAGCGTTGTTTTTTATTATTCAGAACCCTTAAAGTTTTTCCCAGTGCACACACGCATCCCTCCCCCCTGTCAGCCACACATTAAGCTAAGCCCTGTGGCTTCGGTGCCTCAGAGCTCTGGTGGCCCGTGTCTTAGTCTCTAAGCTGGCAACTCACTGCGGTGCGCCTTGTCCGTGGGATCCCGGCGCAGAATGATGCGCCGCTTAGATGCACAAATCGGCCCGGAGTCCACGTCGTGTATTACGATCCTGATGGCCTCGCCGTCCATTGATGTTTGCCGGCGCGGCGCCTCCAAATCCTCCAGATTGGGGCCCGTGAACGAGGCCATGGGCGGCGGAATCGCCGAGGGCGGCACCGTCGGCAGAGCGCCTCGATTCTGCAGCATCGCAATGTCGGGTCTGTGGGGGGATAATCATACGGGTTGTGGCTTCAATACACACTTTTTTGCAATTATTTAATGTTGATATTTATAAAAAATATCCCCTATTTAACCAGAGAAAATATAAATCTGCCACCCCAACTGAAACCTATCCCTGGATCCCAATAACATGTATCAACTCATATAAATTGTATTCAAAAAATAATTCATTTATTAAAACAAAAAAAAGCTTATAAACAATAAGTTTATGTATAATTAATTCTTATCCAGGTAAAACTAAATAAAATAAATAAATACTTAATCCAGTTTAATGCTAATGAAATTGAAATTAAAAAATAGACAGCAAGGATTATTATAAATAATAATATTATATTCCCTTAACCTCTACTTACAGCTGCGAGCCGCGTCGCCGCATCCGGCGGTCCTCGTCGACGGTGAGGACGGGGCTGCCCTTGTCCGGCGATCCCGGCGAGTCGTCGTTCTGGATGTCCTCCGAGGGGTGCGGCACCCGGAACGAGGGCCTCCGCGAGCCGGGCAGCTGGATGGGCGGCATGATGCCGCCCTCGCCCGGCGACCGCTGCAGCTGCGTGGCTGGTGGGGCGCCGCCCTGCGTCAGTCCGGGGGCGAACACGTCGTAGGCGGACTTCCTGTGGGTCGCCAAGAGGGGTTCAACACTGCCTTACTCCTTCATCCCCCCGCAAGTCCCCCGCCTACCTGCGCGGCATGGCCGGAATGCCGAGGCCCGCTCCATCCGCCCCCAATCCCAACGCCGGTCCGCCGCCGCCCATGCTGCCGCCCACGGGTCCTGTCTTCATGTCGTCGTCGTAGCTGTGCTGCCGCGCCACCCGCGACCCCCTCCGCGACTGCATCCGCGACAGGGGCGCCCCGAAGGGGGGCTGTCCGTCCGGCCCCTCGCCACGCGGCGGACTGTTCGAGCGGCTGGGCGCCATGCTGCGGCCGCCCTTCAGTTGCTGCAATGCATTTTGGGATGGATTTTAAGTTAGTGCAGTAGAAAGTGAAACGAAGTATGTATTATATATATTTATATATTTATATTAAGTGGCATTGACTAGACATCTAAGATTTACAAGACATGGATTGTCCCAAAAATGTACATTATTAGTATTAGTCTAGGGAAACAAAATAAATAAAATAAATAAAATAAAACTATTGAAATTGTAGCATACCTTTGGGGGTTCATAAAAAAAAAAAGTGGTGCAGCTCTTGCTTATTTTTTGGGCATACTTTTGGGGGCAATTGAAAAACTTAAAAAAAATAGAGCTGCCACCTACTCTTGCATTCTGTTCGCCTGGTACTTCAAAATGAGGTTTGGTTGAATATGTTGGTCTTGGCCGAACGATTTCGACGGGCCAAATTGGAATTTTAGGATTTAAAATACCAGGCCAACAGAACGCATTAGTAGGCGATTTTTTGGCCGTGCAATTTTACATAAAAAATGTGTAGCATACTTTTGGGAACAATTTATTTTTAATTTTTGGCAATTTTCATTAAAAAGTTTAGCAAACTTTTGGGGGCAAGTAAACAAAACGCAGTGTAGCTCCTTCTTATTTTGTATAGCATACTTTTGCGGGCAATTTGAAAATATTAAAAAAAAGATTAACCGCCTACTATTGCATTCTGTTCGCCTGGTACTTCAAAATGAGGTTTGGTTGAATATGTGCGTATTGGCGGAACGATTTCGAAGGGACAAATTGGAATTTTAGGATTTAAAATACCAGGCCAACAGAAGGCATTAGTAGGCGATTTTTTGGCTGTGCAATTTTACTAAAAAAATATGTAGCATACTTTTGGGAACAATTAAATTTTTAATTTTTGCAATTGTCATTAAAAAGTGTAGCATACTTTTGGGGGCAAGTAAAATACAAAAATAAAACTTGGCCACCTGCTAAAGCATTCTGTTCGCCTGGTACTTCAAAATTGGTTTGGCCTGAAAATTGTGGACTTGGCTGAGTACGCCAATCGATTGCCGAATACTAAATTCCCTTTTTGCCACTGATATACTTAAATATACCCTTGTTTTTCCCAAATAATGAAAAGATACATGTTCAATAAAATGTTATTTAATAAAATATAAACAATAGTATTTAACATAATAAAAACATAAATACAAAGTATTAAAATTAGGAAATAAAGCTAGTATTATAATTGCATTTTGTTCGCCAGGTACTCCACGCGTTGCAAACTTCCTTCTGTTCTCGCAGGCCACTGGTTCCAATAGTAAATATATTTCCCTTTCATGAAAACTCACCCGTTCCAGTTCCTTGAGCGAGGCCGGGGACACATCCGAGTGGCGCCGCAGCTCGGGGCTCCGCGGAGGGGCGAGGGCGGCGCCGTTGCTGGGGGCCAGCGTTTGGGTGCTGCTGCCCAGCTTGGCGTCCGAGTGGCGTCGCTGCAGGGCCTCCAGCACGGGCACGTCCAGCATGGAGTCCGTGGAGTCCTGCGGAATGCAGACCCGCGAGGCCATTTTCCGGCGGCACACGCTGCAGCGCCACATGGTCTGTGGAAGGGAAAAAGCGAAGGGGGGAGGCAAATCAATTTTCATTGCTGTGGCAACGCGGCATCAAGTGTGCGCAGCGTTAATTAAAGTTTCCAGCTAAGCGCTGGAATCTATTTGCGGCACGGCGCTCGCTAATATTTATTAGTGGCCGGCGAGAGCTGGAGGAGCACCATTATGCTGGGCAGCGAGAATAAATATTAATTACTTTCGGAACAAAACTTCGTCGTCGCGGACGTGGCGGAAAATTCTATTTCCAGCACCTGCACGCCCACAAACAAGCGGCGCCGCAGGTGCACCTACTTTCCCCATCCCCATTTCGATGCCCCCTTCTCCCCTTCCACCTCATCCCCTACCCTTTCCCATCCTGCTCCCAATCCCCATCCCCCATGTCCGCCTCGCTGCATTTTCCAGTTCCCTTTTCCGCCCGCACAATGCTCGTTACATTTCCACCTGGCTGCTGATTCATTTTGCCCAGCGGCTCCAATCGTCATGTGTGTCGCCCGCGTCCTTTTCGTCCTCTTTGTCCCGTTGCCTCCTCTTGATATCCCTGCACCCATTGTAATTAAGTCGCTGCACCGAGAAAAACTAGTGGAAGCTGTTGAAATTTATAACATTTTAAAAATATTTGCATTACGTGTTATGTTTTAAGTGTGATCCATTTTCGTTAAACAGGAACAGAAATTATATTGCCTTCCACTCCTTTTTCCTTCTGATAGGTCTATGCTTATGTCGCGCACTGTAGGACGCAGCTGCAGTTTGCAGCAACCTGCAACTAGAGCCCGGCTTTGCTTTGCTGCCCCTGTGCTCCCAGTTGCGTGCTCTGTAATTACACGGCGCTGCGGCAGCGTGGCTGCCAGCTCATGATCCCATCGAGAAATCGACTGAAAAGTTATTTCCCAGCTGCCACAGCAACGTCAGCGGAAAGCAAAGAAAGGCGAGCTGCTGCACGCTCATGAAAATTTAAGATTTATTTGCGTTCATCGCGTATGCAAAGGCGAGGCAGGCGGAAATCGATTTTGATGGGGGAAGTCGACTCTAAGCAGGAAGTCGAGCGTGAAGCAACAAATAAGCCAAGCTGAATTTCCCCACACGCCGCACTCTCGCAAATCCATCACGAACTACAGTGTGTCTTCATATTCAAAGGAGCAGAGTGACAATGTCTAGGAAATGTATTATCGAAGTCTAAATGCCATATCACATCACCAAAAACGCTCAACTCTTTGGCAGAAATAGTTCGTCCCTCCACAGAAACTATTGAACATCTAAACCCATGGTCTTCCCTTTGGTCAGATTTACCAGCCATAAATCGAATCAATGGCAACTTGAAAGCTTTCAGGGGGAAGAGGAACTTAGGTTTGCCAAATTCATACGCCACTTAAGTTGCTGTACTTGCAACAAAAGTGCTTCTCTCATCACAAATCCTGGCTTGAATGTTGCAAGTACTGCGAGTATCTCCCTCATTCTCTCCAAGTGGCCGAAATCATATTCCCATTCAGCATCGGCCAAAGCCGGAGCTCATGAACAATCGAATGCCTGGTCGGAGGCACGCTCCAAATGATTATTCGACGGCAGAGCCACTCGGAGTGTCCTGGCAGGAGGACTCGTCGGTGGGCGGACCATAATTACACTGGGCGGATACAACAGGCGGTTGCGGGCTGGTTGTGGGTGGTTACGGGTTGTTGTGGGTGGCAATGGGTGGTTATTGCCCACAGCCGATGCCCAGGAACATCAATTTCAATTAGCCAAAGTGGCCAGGTTGACAGACAAACGTTAAATTTTATGTTCAGGGCGTTGGCGTGGCTTCTTGACAAATTACCACAAGTTCGGGCGAAGACAGTGCTGCACGGTGCGGTTATCAATGATCATTATGCGGCAAGTGTTGATGGGCGGACGAGGCACACGACTCCGGCACTCCGGGACTCCGGGTGGTGCAACCGGATCCCCGCCGCCGGGGGATGCCATTTAATCTCGTTAATTCGGCCTTTATTCCCTTAATGTCCCGCGATGAATGGGCGCAGTTGCGCCCAGTTGGCCATTGTCACCGAACCCCTTCGGCAGCGGCCTGTAATCTAATTTATGTGCACTGACCCGTGCTTTCATTACTCTGCCCCGCCCCTTTGTTTACTCCCCCTTTTGTTGGCTTCAACGCACGGGAAAAAATGCAAGCTGCTGGCTTTAAAGCGCCTCTGCTCAAAAATGCTGATTGTAAATCACGGCCAACGCAAATGCTTGATAAATGCGGTAATGGCTGCATATAAAATGTTTATATTACTTTCGCAGAACAAAGTAATCTTCATGTTGAATTACGCAGAAAGGTTGGAAGTCAAATTAAAGCATTTTGCGTTTCGAATTGTACAATGAAAGTACTATACAACAGGTTCTGAACAGAGTAAATGCAGCTTTAAATTAATGAACGCAGACATGTGGAAAGTCAAATTAAAGTTATTCGTTTTTTGAAGAGGTTTTCCTCATGCTTTTCCCCCATTTTCCCTCAACGTAGTGCTCAACGACCTCCACCGTTTTCTTGTTAATGAAGTGCCGCTGCAGGCGGTGTTTATTTCTGCCGCGCGACCACGCGAATCGTTGGATTGCCTAGTGGCCCGGAAGGTGCATCCCGTCCACTCTGGACCACCGTTCTGTCCATGTCTCTGTCTCTGTCCTCTGTCCTCTGTCCAACTCTCCTCTGGCCAACTTACCGCGTCCTCGTGCTCGTCCAGCTTGCTGTAGCTGGCGCAGTCCTCGCACACTCGCTGCTGGCACTCGAAGCACGTCTTGTGGTAGTCGTCCGGCTTGAAGGACTTCAGGCACACCCTGCAGGCCCCGGCCCTCCTGCCCGGCTCCTGCTTGGCCGCCGCCCCGCCCCCTCCTCCTCCTGCGGCGCTGCTGTTGTTGTTGTTGTTGTTCAGCCCGCTGCCGGCGGACTCCTGCTGCTGCTGCTGCTGGCTCTGGTAGCTGGGCGAGCCGTAGCTGCCGCTGGTGTCCGCCTCCGTGGGAACGAGCGAGGGGCGTGGCGACATTTTGTTCACTGGAAGAGAGGAGAGAGAAGACAGAATGGGGATTACGTAATCAATTAGTGGGGCGGTCAGCCAAGCCCGTGGAAACTTGTTGATTTTCCGCCGAGTGCATGGACTGACCCAAATGCAGAGTGTGTGTATGTGTGTGCCTTAATTCGAGCTTTATAATTTGTTTGCCATCCTAATTGGTAAAGCGACAGGCAGGCAAATGCAATAAATAAGGCAGAAATCGGCTGAAATTGGATTATCCGTAGACAAATTTAAAGTTCCCGCCTGGGAAGCTAAATCCCCTTTTTTATAATGCCAACTAACTGTTAAGAAAAGGAACATTTACTCAAAATGAAACGAAAATACAGCCCGCTTGATGGACTGTATAAGTTATGAGTTTACCCGTGAAAGCACTCTGCTAAATTACATAAAATCACTTATGCAACATTTGATTTTTCATTCCAGGGGGCTTCCCCTCCTGCAGCGGAAAAACCCGGCGAACTGAAGCCTTTTCCCGGACTGGCACACATTTATATGATTATATGCTTATGCAGCGAGTGTGTTTTATATATTTCACCCTTGAGAAAATGGCGAAAGTTTGTGCGGCCCGGAAAAAGTCGCGGTGCATTAGTCACAGTCAGGAGACAAGGACAAAGGAGGGTTTTGTTGCCTTTGCCGCCCTGCATTGCATTGCTCATACGCACAGTTGCACCCAGTGCCTTTCACCTTTTGGCAACTCACGCTTGACATTTTCAGCCGTAAAAGTGGCAGGGCAGGTCGAAACAATGCGAGGCAAGCCCTCTCGCTTTCCCCCTTTGGAAAAGCAGCAAAAGCGATTTACCCGCTCAAGGGAACACTCAGGTGGCAGAAGATAAAGCAACTGCACAACTATTAAAGTGTTTGCAGGTCCTCCTTAAATTATGTGTCAGCCCTCGACCGCAAGGACCTGGATCTGAGTCTCCTGAGGCTTGCCAGCTGCCTGGAGAGTCCTTCTGCAGGATGCAACCTTCGGGGAGTTTTGGGGAGGGAGGGAGGAACAAGTGGCACAATATTTGCCCAAATTATGTGCGCAAATCTGTCTCGCTCTTTTACGACCCTGCTAAATAAACAGCATGAAGCAAGATTTCATTTCGTTCTAATAAATCGAATGGCTTGGCCGTAAAATCAACAGCCAGAGCTCTCGCTTAGCTGGTGGCCAACTAAAATGTGATAAAAATAACACAGAAGTCAACACGACATTCTCATGTTCCCCGCTGCTTGTGTTACTACTGAATAAATACAGCAGAGACCGAAAAAACAGAAGACATAAATGATTTTAAATGATATTAATACTGATTTATCATTTCTCCTTTCGAACAGAAAAGTAGTAAGAATCTTGTTAGAACTTTATAGTTGAAAAACTTGATTATTTGCTATTAAGTAACTTGAAACATTCGCTGCTATTATTTCGACCTGAGCTGTCTGCGGTTTTGTATGGCTGATGCCGAAACAGAAGTCTCCGATTTTATTGACCTCGTCGCAGCGTTTATGGACCTCGTAACAATGCGAGTGCGAATGTCGACGACTTCGCAGTGCAGCAACCGCTGACCCTTTGCATAATTCAATGCGCGATGCAAAGGAGCGTGAGCTTTATTTTATAATATTGCGTATACGCGCCGTTGGACTCTAAGTTCTCATTGCTGCGACTCACGTGCATTCGAGAAAGTCGAGGGAAACAACACACAAAGTTTGCTCAAAGTTTAGCTGGCAGCTTTACGGGCACTTGTATGAGAATTCATGCCATAAATTCGCATGCACTTACGGCAAGGATAACCGACAGGATACACACACACACACATACACTTACCTTTGTCTGTGACGGTGAGCAGCGAGGAGGAAATCGTGGCCTTCATCTTGTTGAGGGCCCCCGTTTGGGAGGCGCCGCCCCCGGAGTCCGCCGCATGTGGCTGCCGCTCGCCGGCCTGCTCGTCGGTGGCCACCATCTGGGAAAACAGAGGAGAGCAGAGGAAGAGCTTAGAAGGTGGCAGGTCATGAGGGGGCTAAGTAAATGTGGTCGATGGCGTATCGAGCTGTGAGCTGATTTGCGGCATCTGCAGATTCTTCTTCCATTCGGGTCTCGGCTGGCCATAAACATAAAACGCGGCCAATACGACCAGATTATTGGACGTGAATTACTGCGCCAGGTTTGCTGCCTTCGCTTTCATCAGCTAAAAGGCTTATGCAACTGTTGGCTTTAATTTTCATAAAATCTTACAGTTTATAGTGAGCCGAAAAAATAAAGTGATTCGATGATGGAAATAAATTAAATGTATTACTGCTTTCTGCTTCGATAATTAATTATTTTTTCTAGGTATTTATTGCAATTGCTTTAATCATTAAAACATCGCTCCCATATAGCTACCAAAAAAACATAATCACGCTCTTTTTCATTTCACTAAAATGCATGCTTGATATGCGCAAATCATTTCGGTAAATCACTTTTACATCCCGCAGCTTAGCCAAACTAGACGAATATTACCCTCAAATTCCTCGCAAGGGAGCAGCTTTTCCTGTGTAAGGTTCCCTAAGAAAGGTTATCATCCAGATTCTCCCTGCCTTTTTTGCCCAGTCATCAGGGGCACGCAGGTGAAAGTAACGTGGCGCGTTTTATTTGATTTTTTCTCGGCTGCCGCTTCTGCTGGCGGCGTCTGAAGCGCAACAAATTGCCAAGAAATCGTAAAGTGTGGCAAGTAATTTTTGATTAAACAACGGAGCACCGAAGGCAGAATCCTCCAGCCGGAGCGGCTTTCCAAAATTGCCGTCATTCTTTTTAATGCACACAGACTGTGAGAAGGGGATTCACAGGACTTTCCCTCTGTTCCTGTTTGTGTGTGTGTGTGTGGATGAGTTTTCCAGAGAGGGAAACAACAATTGGAGGCGACTAGCCGACCAGCCGAGCCCCGAAAACATAAGTGCTGCCCTGCTCTGTCAGCATTTTATGAAGTGGAAATTTTCTATTTTCCAGAGCGTCGACGAAACCGGAACAAACAGGCGCACGTTGAATACACAGCAGAAACACACTAAAGTGAACCTTTGTCTTTAATCGAAATTAAGAGGAATTAAGGTGAGCAACACCAGACATCAGTTCACCTTCAGAGTTTCTTGTTCGTGTTTTTCTGCAACAGTTACATTTTAATATTCATGTTACATCTGTAGAACATGAAAAATCCCATAAGCCATTACAATATTTTTTCCTATGCATTAGGATCGGCCCGTGTAGTGCAGGCTTTCCCCCGCACAGCGCAAATTACACTAAGTGCTTTTGGCTGCAGCGTTTTCGGGTGTCTACCTTTCGGGGGAGGGGGCTCTGAGGTTTTCGGGGGCAAGAGGAGGGCTTCGGGCCAGGGGATCGGCTTGTAGCTCTGGCAGGAACTAAGCGGCATCCAGTGTCAGATTATGGCCGCTTTGAGCTCGGCTTGGCTACATTTTTGATGATGTCATTTGATGTCGGCATGGTAATATTCATGCTGCGGATTTATGGGCCTCCCTTCCCCTCCCCCCTCCCCCCATTTTCCGCTTTCCCTGTCAACTTTTGTGGGGAGCCAGTGAAATCTTAGTGTAATGTATAGTTGTTTGCTCGGGGTCCTTCGAAGGGAAACCCTGCTTACGGCCCAAGCAGCCCACTTAATTTATGTGCTCAGGTGTCTGACGCCATTTTTCTCGCACAAGGGTAAACTACTCTGCATTCCTCACGCTTTTCCGCTTTTCCGCCTCTCCGCCCTTCCGCTCTTCCACCCTTGCAAAGCTCCCACACAATTATTGCCGTGTTAATTTTGTCATTTATTATGATTTTTTGCTCTGCTGGTTGCTCTGCTGGCTGGGTCTTATGGCCCGAAGCCGCAAATAGTTTCATGTTTAGTGCCGAAAATTATGTGTTGACGTTTAAGAGCTGCTGTCGCCGCCTCCGTGAGCTCTTTTCCCCCGTTCGTCCTCCGTTTTTCCGCACGACTACAATAACTCGGCTCGCAATATGTGCGCCCTTTATGGCCGCAAAGTGTGCTACATAAAACAGCAGTCAATGCAAGACGAAATGGGGAGAAAGTTGCTCGCCAGCGGGGAGAAAGTTCCAGTTCCGCCTGTCTGCCACGAGTGAATGCCTCTGCATTCCGGCAGGACAGACGTCCTTGCAGCCGGAATGGAATGGAAATCAATAGCAACTGAAACTGAAGCGGAGGCAGCGAGCAAATACTTTGCCACTTAAAAGTTCCGCGCAAGTTTATTACGAATGTCTCACGGAGAACTTCGGGACACGGAGGAAAAATATCCTCGTGGTCTAATAAATCATTTAAAACCGTCGAAGAACTTTGGTCCTTATTGAATTTCATTAAAAGTGATAACCAAACAAGAAACATATTTTAGCTAACTGATTTTTATCCTGTTTGTTTACTAGTTTCTCTAATTGAATTGAGGGGTTTTAAATTAGAGCTTTTAATGAGCGAATGTTGTGAAAACAAATATCCCTGGGGCTTTGATACTTTAATTAGCAAATCGTGTTATTTGCACAGTATTTTTATTGGCTGGGATAGGTTTATTTCTTGACAACCGAAACATTGTTTAATTTTAGAAATTATTGTGGTTATTTACTAGTGTTTTAAATTAAATAAAATGTTTATGGAATTAGCAAAGAATGTTGGTTAATTTTTTCGCTGTGTAAAAAGTAGTTTCTGAGGCGGGCACGTGCTCTTCATTGGGCTCAAGGCTCCGAGTTGCCTGTTGCAAGTTGCCAGTTGCCAGTAACCAGTTACCAGTTACCAACTACCAGTAGCAGTTGCCAGTTGCCTGTTGCTGTTTATGGCCTGCACTCGAGCACAATAAAGTGCAGCACACAGACACCGACGGGGACACGTGTGGTCAGCTCGGAATGGCCAGGATGGAATGGCCAGCATGAAAATGGCCAGGGAGGAGGGGCAGGAAGGAGGAAGTGGCCAAGAAGGCATGGCCAGGATCTGTCCACAGGCGAGTCCACAAGCAGCAGAAGGCAGCACAAACCGCAAGCAAATGTGTAACGAGCCAAGTGCGGCGGTTGGTGGGGCAGGACTATTAAGCAAATTGCTGCAAGTAAGCTGCACGAGGTCGTGCAGCTTTCAGAGGACCTCAGTGTTCACGGCCCATTGGGCTTCCTTTGATGTCCTGCACTGCGGCCCCTTCGCATTCGTCGCCAGGAGCCGAATGCCCAGACGGTTGTCGGCCATTTGAATGGCAAATAGAAAAAGTTGGCAAATCCTTTCTCGCCGGCGGAGAGGGACTGCTAACAGACTGTCAACGGCTCATCATTGTCTTGAGATGGGTTCCTTTTTGGAGGGAAGGCCGAAGTCTGGAGAAGTTGGACCGCTTTGATTTCGTGCTTCATTTGGTCTAATCAAACTTGGCGAAAACACAAAAATCTGCAGCATTTAGTTGGCTGGCATTTGCTTGTCAGCCCCCACAATCCCCTTTCCCCGCCCCTAATTTCCAACTAGGTTTTTATTAACTTTGCAAAGAATTTTGTGCCGAACGGGAATTTTCTCGGAATTTACACTTTTCGAGGGCCTTTCCTTTCCCCTCCCCTTTGTGTGTTATTTTTGGCTTCACACGGCCAGCAGTTCATGTATAATATTATTCCTTTCTTATTCCCCCGAAAACAATTTCCGCATTATAAAAAGGACACGATCCCGAGGCAGGTGCTCGGCAGGATAATTGAACCGCTTCGATTGCCGCCAGTCCGTTTGTGTTTTTTTTTCGATTCTTTTGTGTACCTCCGATATTTTTCGGGCCATAAACAAAGGGAAAATCAGTCAGGCGGGCAAAGCATTTAAAGGGCTTTTTAATTAAAAAGTTTTGTTTGCCCTTCCGCCGGGCGTTTGTTTTTGAAGCCTGTTTGGAAGGGCTTAAGCGATTTGAAATGCACGGAACTTATTTCGACCTTGGGCCTTCAGCTTATGTATGCACTTTTTGGGAACAATGAGCAGAGCAATGTTAACAACTTCCTGAGGAGTCAAAATAAATGCTCTTACATGCTATAAACTAAATAAAAAAGAATAGTAAAATGATAAACAAAACAGGTAATGAAACATGCAAGCCTCAAATTAAATTTCATTATTGGTAAATAATAAGTATTAACGCAGTAGGGTTTTCCTTTTGCAAAAAAACTTTTCAACTTTAAGTCCATTCGCTTCTCGGTCAGCAGCAAATGAATTAAAAATTGGCTTTTTATTGCATTTCATTTGCCAGTCATTATCATCGGGGAATAATTAAGAATCACAGCCGGCGAATGAAAACGAAATTAAGCATAAATTACGAGCTTCTGCCATGGACAACGAGCCGGAGCTCCGTGATTTATACTCGTATATTCATTAAAATCGAAGTGTCACTTACCTTCTTCATGAACGACATCACGTTGGTCGGCAACATTTTGAAGGCTTTTCTTCCGCGGCGCTCTTCCTCGGTTGGGAATCGGTTTATCCGTCGCTTTCCGTGTGTGTTTAAAGTGCAATTAATCACGCATCCGCCGCGTTGGACGTTGCGTATACGCTGTGTTGGCTGTGTTCGCTGTGCTCGCTGTGCTCGCTTTGTTCTGCTCGCTAGTAAGCCGCTTTAAGTCGTTTCGATTTGGGTTGTTCTCGTTCTCTTTCGATTGGCCATGTCGGGGGCTCGCTCCTCTGCTGGCCATTTCCCACCGGCCATGTAAATGGGCATTGACATGCGGATTGGCACTCCAGCCAAAGTTCTACATGTTGCGCCAACTTGCGATGCGGTGCGATGCGATGCGGATTGATTTATGGGGGCTCTAGTTCCGCTCCTGGCTCTTAATTAACTTGGGCCATAACTCACAAACGGTATTATTGCCGCCGGCTGCAGCTGCTCCTCCGGCGGAAAACATGGAAAGTACACCGAGAAAGAGGCGGAAAATTATAATTAGTCATCTGGCAAAGGGGCAATGGGGCAAGTTGCACGCGGCGCTCAAAGGACGTGTAATGGTCGGCCCGGCTTACACCGTACTTAGCCGGGCTCCATAAATTTCCCTGCGATAAGCATCGACGGCCTTTCTGGTCCCCGCAACACACGCACATACTGAAAAGCGGTGAAAGTCGAGCGGCAAAGTTTATAAGGCGGAAATAATGTGTCGCCTACATGCAAGGACCCTTTCTACTCCGACCTGTGATCCAACTTGGCCCTGTTAAGTGGGTTAACCGGGGAGCCCTAAGGCGAAACTGATTTTCAATAACTCCCTATAAATTCCATCAGCTTAGCTGGGTGAAATTTGGCATGTCAGCATCGTTGAGGTCTTTAAAGTCTGCATACGAATTGAATCAAATTTGGCAAAGGATTGCTTTATATATAATGCCTTTCTGCTCAAACTAGATGATATAGAGCAACGAGCAGTGCAATCACAATGCTTTGGTGAGCTTATCGGGCGTTCACTGCAGTCGGGGTGCACTGCACATGAAAGGGAACTCCGAGCTGGTTGCAAATGGAATTATTATGGGAAATGACCCACATAGCGACTCAATTGTCGGGCCATCCGCTCGATTTGAGCTGCTCGGTCTGCAGATGTATGCGAATAATTTTGAATACCAGCGCATTGGTATTTGCAATACCCAATTCCCAGTTTTCAATTCCCCATAACCAGTTCCCAATTCACTATTCCCAATTCCCATTCTGTTGCCAGGACAACGGATTAAAGCCAGAGGGAGCCGACCAAGTTGGCAGTGGCAAACTTTGGCCAAGTCGTTGGCCCAGAATGCAGTTAGCAGTTAGCCGAGTCGAGTCGAGAAGGGCTCCTCCGTTTCGGCCATTGTGCGAGCATTTGAAAGTTCATAAAAAGCCATTCGAGATAGTTGCCGACGGGGAGAAGTTCTCGACTTGCCGACCGACGAAATGAGCTGGCTGGGAAGAGTTTTAAATTGTGTTTGGCGAAAATGAAAATTAGTTGCCGCTTGAAGCTGTCAAAATGCCAGCGACAGGACATGCATTCCGCGCAGTGAAATCAGGACGAGTTGATTTTGGGGGGACTCAGTACGACAGAGAGTTACAAGTGTTTGTTTGGGGAGGGAAGGGAGGGAAAGTGGGTGGAAAAGCGGAGAGAGGAGGGGGAAAGCGACGACAGGACCTCGTGCTTACACAAGCTTAGCGCGCAAGGATGTGCTCATAAATTGTAACTTTCCGTCGCGTTGTTGCTGCTGGTAACAAGCATGAAATCGCATGAGCACACACACTCCCAAATCAACAGGACGAGCAGCGAAGGGAGGGGAGGGGAAGGGAAAGGAGGGGAGCGGAGCGGATGGAAGGATGCTGGCAAAGTTCCAGCCAACTTGGTCGGCTGTAGCTGGCACCCAGTTAATTAGCGCGAAATTGGGGGAATGAGTTTCCGAACCGAGTGCCATGGGCCTTCGCCTTCGGGCCAAAAAACGGAGGCGGGGGGCAGGGGGCGGGGAGCCGGGAGCCTTCATCCTGTGCATGCTAATGAAACTGATCAGATTGCCATTAGCAATAACGCTCTGTGTGTGGGGCCGTCTGCCCCGAAATAACGAAATAACACATGCATTAAATAAAGTCCGACAAGATTTATCACCCACACGCCTAGATCCTGCCTAGATGGCAGGACCCCAGCAAGGACATCGCAATTGTCACGCACAGGCAAACAAAGCTGGCAAACAAAAACCTATCCGAATCGGATTGAATTGCTGGAATATAAAATAGAGGCTTCTACACAGGGAGAAAAGGGGGTTCTAGTGTTAAATTTGAACCCTCTGGGTTGCAAACTATGTACCTCTGTTATTTTTATTTCTGTGAATGGGAAGTGCGGCAAACTTTCAATGTCCGGCGATTTATTGCGGGCAACGCCACACGGAGTGTCAAAGTGAATTGTTATGCCGGAACGTGCATGGGACACAAATGAAGTGCAGGCCAGCCCGAAATACTCGTAAAGGGGAAAAAGGACGGCCAAGCAATTCCTCAGCCAAATGAAGCGCAACAGCCTTTGAGCCGGAAAAAAAGGCAGCATTCGAGAGCAGCAGCAGCGGCATTCGAGGTCCTGTCCAATTGCAGTTGAGAAATCGCAGCGCAGTTCATAAATAAACCGGACAGCAGGGGGCATCGCCGGAATAACCAGCAGTCGAGCTGAAACCGTCCTCATGAATGGCATGAATGAAGCGTTGTCAACAAAGCCGGGCGATGGGGGATTTCCCCGGCAGTCCGCAGATTACAAACCCGCAGAGCTCCGCCCTGTTGCCTTGTTGCTCGCTTGTTAACACACTCCGGCTTCCTTGTTGTGGGCTGGGCCCCAAAGGATCCCAAGGACCCCGCATCAGAGTCGGGATGGGATGAGTGGAGAGCCAGCTTCCACCTCCACTCCATCTCCCCACTTGAGGTGCCTCTGCACAAAGGCGGATGCCACTCGAAACTATGAAGAATCATAGTTTATCGATCTCGCAGAAAATTAATTTGACTAAGCGAACAGGAAAAGTTTCGAGGGGCAAACTTCGGGGCGAAAGGGAACTTTCAATGGCACGTGAAAGATGGATTTAAATGTGAATTCCAGGAATTGTTAAGCTGCAGCTTGTCGAGATATGAAAATCATGTAGCTTAACCAGCAGCTTTAAAAGTTGTTATTTAATATTTTATAATAGCACCTTAAAGCACATTCGGTTCTCATGGAAGCATTTTTAGATATTTAAAGTTATTAAACTCAAACAAGGGATAAGCAAATTTAAATTTACAAGAGTTGCAATTGATTTGAAAATATCCCTTTTTTCAATTCGAGGGCAGAACATTTTGTCTCAGTGCTTTCCGGGCAGGCGAAATGGGTGGCCAAACAGGGTTCTTAATGAAGCAGGGACCGCGGAGTGTTGGCTCCTCCGTCAGGACACGGCTCGGCCAAGTGGCAAGCGGATGTCAACGCCAGGCTGGCTAATTGACAGCGACGGCTTACGCGGCGGCTACACGATCCCTGCTACTTTGAACATCCCTTGGACATCCTGGAAAGGTTTAATTGCTGGAAGTAAACAGCGGAGGGCCGTGGATGTTGTGGGCTGGCCGAACAGATTGCCGTCTGATTCCGATTGCGGATGGGTCGAGGGAACAGCACATGCCACACTCGCTCCTACACGACCGTTTCCATTTCCATTTGCACTTACAATTTCCCGGGGTTTTCCCCATGCGAAACACGTACGCGCGCAATGAAATAAAACTACGCCCGCCGAAAACGCTGAGCTTTTCGCAGGAGGGCTGGCAAACAAAGGCTGGCAATCGTTTAAACTGCTGCCAAACTCAATTATTCAAATGCCAGGGGAAGGGAGGGGGAGAAGGGGGCGTGGCACTGGAGTAGGGCGTGGCTCATGTGGCTCGAGTGGCACTTGGCTGCGGTCGCACACGGCGATACTTGCAGCTTGACGTTTAATCAAAGCAAAAGCGAAAGCAGAAGCAGAAGCAAAAGCCTGAGCAAGAGTGCTTCAGCATTGAGCATTCAATGGGAGGCTGATGCCTCGATTTCCTCTCAAGGACTTCGCCTTGCGTCCTGGTTCTGGTTGGCCGCAAAACTGTTGACACGTCGTCATCCGTATCCTGTCAACAGTGTCGACTCACATCTTAATTGAAATCGAATCAAAGTGCTTTCACTCGGCAAACGAATTGTCTGCTGCACGCATTGTTCGAGATTGTTTTGGCCAACTGTTGCCACCAACTAATGACCTGCCATTGTGCTCGGCTCCGGGTTTTACACTCAATTTGTGGCTCGTGTTTCATAAATTATTTATTTGAAAATTTTATTTGCTCTCTCGGATTGGGTCTCCTTCCTCTGTCGCCGGGGGAATTGGTTGTGCTTTGTGTGGCTACATTTGATTATGAACTGGGCCAGCAACTGAAACCATTGCCATGCACTTCACAGCGCCAGGAGTTGCGTGCCTCGATTGGAGCCATTGATTGGCCAGCAAATACTGCTGGCCCAAAGTGCGTTCGCCTCTCCTCCAGATCTGATTGTGCAAAGCATTTGGGCCACGGCTTACTGGACAGCGGACAATGGACAATGGGCCCATCGGCCAAATGCACTGGCTACAATCAACATCGAGCGATGGCGGAGTGCTTAGCAAATATTACGTATTCGCAGTCGCCCTGTTTGATATTGGACGGAATTACGCATACGACGTGTGGCCATCATTGAAGTAGGGCGAGAAAAAACTTCAGTCAAAACCTCATTACGAATTCATTGCCTTAAATCTCTTAAGTAAAGTGAAGTTTAAGGGAAATTAATATTAAAGATGATTGAGTGTATTTGTGTTATTTAAATGCCGGAGGAGTAAAATATTTCCTCTATAGTTGAGTGTATAGCATGTTAATAATTTGAATAACATACAAATGAATTTTAGTTACTAACAAGTTGTGTTTGTATAATTGTATAGCACTAAAGCCCCGGCCAAATCAACTTGATACCGATATGGACACAAAACCCCCGAGTTCACCCAGCGCTCATTAACGCTTTGTAAAATGTGCAGCTCGACGACGATTTTCTTGCATGACAACACGCAACACTGCCACGCCCCCTTATCGCCCCTCTTCTGGAAAAGGGGGCGTCGCATTTTCACATTTATGAAGTCGCGCCGACGTGGCAAACTCATTAGGAATGCGTGAAATTCAACGCAGTTTCATGCGAACTTAAGGGCGTAGACGGTGCGTAATTGTCTGCTCTGCTCGTCATAAAACCAGCAGCCAGGGAAACGCCACTTGGCTCTCCTATTAGGAGGGCATCGTTTCTAGGCATCCCCTGATTTATTTGCTGCAAAAACTTTATATTAATTACGCACGGCTGGCGGGGGAAATTAAATCAAACGGAGCGGAGAACAAAGAAGCGCGGCACATAAAAACCGAGCTCCGATACAACAAAACCCCGACTAACCAGAAACCAGAAAAAAGGCTTAATGGCCGTTAAGCGATGGCACGAGCGAAAGGACTTCGGCGGACTGGGAAGCTGAGAGCCAAGTGACCGCAATTAATTAACCACAAGGCGGCGAATGCCGCCGGCAATAAAAAATAATTATAATTATTTTCAGCAAGTGCCTGCAAAACGAGACTTGTACACTCATAAAACGGAAGCCTGAGGTCTCCGTTTTCGAAACCCTTTTCCCGAATGAGTATCTGAGTATTAAGGTGTAGGTTTCTATTCATTAATAAGTGAACTAAATTCGACAAGTGTATCCTTAGACAGCATTCATTTTGGGCCAGAATATTCCACAAAGTGCTAGGCACTCGTTGCGTAATTAAATGCCGGCCAAAGTGAGCAGGGCTAAGGTTAAGCTGACTGGCTGTCAAGGTCCTGCCTTTGTGCTCGAACACACAGTCGGTTAATTATTCAGCATATGCATGAAGGATGTACCAATGTCAATGTCAATGTCGAACTGTCGGCCAACTAAACAGAGGCCCGAACCGAAAGAGCAGCTCAACGGCCTCATGAACTTTTGCAGCGCATCTAATGCGAATTCAATGTCGTTCTGGCCTTCCCCTTCCCCTTCCCTTTCCCCCTCCCTTTCCCCTCGTCCTGCCTTCAACTCGTCCTTGGAAGGACGACCTCGTGGCCCGTCAACAAAGTCAATTAAAATATGAGCGCAAGCCAAATAAATTGTCATAAATATGCAAAAGAGCACAAAATACATTTAGTTCTGCCAAGGACACGGCAACCTGGATTCCAGCCATCCGCTGTGGCTTTCCCTTCTGTTTCCTTCAGGCATTATGCTTAATCGTGTCTGCCCATCGATATCCGTGACTCGAACACATGCCGTCACTATTGTTATTGCGCGCACTGTCGTTCCGAGCAGTTGTTGTGCTTACTTATCGCACCACACATTACACATAGCACATAACACATTACACATTACACATTACACGTGTCTCGCCTGTCGCAGCTGTCTGTCTGCGGTCCTGCAGGACCTCTTTTCTCCCCCGGCTGTCTCCTGCGGATCCCAATCCCATTTTCATTCCGACATTCAGGGAATGCCTCGCAACTTTCAGCAGGCGGAGCTCTGTAAATTGCATTGCATGTGCTTGAGGACACAGAGAAGAAAAAGGATAAAAGCTGGCTCTCCTGCTTTTAATTTTTATAAATATTCATATTATATATTGTGACATATAGTATCAAGGTTGTTCGAAATTTCTTTCTGTAAAATCCTTTCGAATAGCAAACAGCTTACTGAGAAAGCGATATACGAAAGGACAAATAAACAGGAATTATTCTCAATTACCAATCCAAACGCTCTTGCAACATTTAACAAATCTGTGTGGCCGGAAGGTCAAATGTCAGGCCAGCAGACAGACGCATATTTAATTCCCCACAATCGCACACAATCCGTCCTCCCAGCCTTCCCTTCTCCGATTTATTATTTACGAAATACTCAGCACTTATATTCATTAATTTGATTGCAATCCGCATCGATGCATTTTCCATAATCCCCACCGAATGGGTTTTAACTTTCGGGCAAATTGGGCTAATTCCCTCTGATCGAGCTCTAATTACACGCTCTTCCAGCTTCCCCGGAAAAAGCTCAAAAATAAACAAGGAGCCCGTAATTTATGACAAATCGAGACGGGCAGAATCCATTCTGCGTTTGATGTGTAACATATTGCGCATACGCCGCGTGGGCAGTCACAGCCCCAAGTCATTTTTCATGTTAATGTATTTACATACATATTAATCAAGGAGGCGGTGGGTGTAATGGGGGCGTGGCAACCGCAGCGGAGGCATGCTGTTATTGAGCCCCGCAATTTAAATTGATCCGCAAGCAATAGGAGCAGTAATTGCTGTGGTTTGGCTCTGCCAGGAAGCAAGATAGAGGAAGGCGCCCCGAAGACGCCGAACAGACGCCGAGGCCATTATTCGACCGCACATCCTTGCCAGGACTCTCCGTTCTCGGGCTGCGGAAAGCCGCAGGCTTCACATGATGTTCGGGTCGATTCTGCAGCTCAAACCTAATCATCTGCGCTCAGTAATCCCATCATTTGTAATGCATACCCACTTGGTTTTGGGAGCAACACTCCAAGAAATATCATGCTAATCGCTGATAAAATTTGTTTATATTGCTTGGGAAATTCTAAACTATATTTTCAGTATGTATATTTTTAAACACCTCCTTGTAATAGTGTTATTTAATACGCAAGTACTTTTGTGTTCGCCCACAAGTTCAACAAGCTGAAGGCTGAATGTAGGCTCTCTTCTGGTCATTGTGGCAACAAATTACCTGTGCGATTTGATTTCATTTCCGTCCTGCTGCCACCGCCTTCAGCTTCTTCCTCAATGGGCTGTGGACTGTGGCTACTGTTGCGGATCCTTTTCCACCTAAATCATCATCAGCCTCGAATCGGCATCCTGCTGCTCGATTTGTTGTGCGCCGTCGATGTGCACTCGGTTTTCTGGCTTTCGAATCGAAATCTGGCTGCGTGACTGGAGCCCTGAAAGAGTCCGAGAGGAGGTTGTGAGTATTTCCTGGCATCAGACAGCTGTCGAATGCGAAATGGGGGCATAAATCATAAGTTATACTCGTATTCGGCAGGGCGGAAAGCTTTCCTAAAAGACTGAACTGCAATCGGAGTCCTGCGATTCAAATACATCAATTTCCATTCGATCGAAATCAATCTTGCTGGCTAGCAATTCAATTTTCAGCCCATCGATTTGCGGTTCTCGCAAATAAATGTGTAGTAATTACTTCGAGAATCCTTTGTTTGGGTTTCCGTTTGGTAAACACGAGCATGTAAATTGAGGACCCCTGACACTCTCCATTATCGATTCTGCTTGAGGGGGCTTGTGTCCTCTCTATTAATACTTTATCACAGCAGCCGACCCCCTCCGTTTTCTCTACGAGCAATAAGTACCTACTAAGCTGCCGGAGTGCAGCAAAAGTATATTCCTGTCATAAATTCGGCTGACTTGGAAACTTTTCGACGGCTGCGGCATTTGTGGCCCTGTTGCAGTTGCTGTTTCGTGCTGTGTGTATATAAAATAAATACGTATAGTATAGTATATATACGGGGGATACAGGGGAGGGGATGTAGCTGGATCTGAAGCCTTCTTGTGGCTGTTGTCGTTACTCTCGTAATTATGAAAGTTGGCCAACTGGGCTGCGGTCGCGCGACTCCCCGGGGCATTCGGGCATTCACAATGGGCCGCCTTCTTTCGACGCCCTCGGGTGTGCAACACCAAGTTGTATGTGCGGAAATTGGAGGACACTCCGTAGTGTGGGCACATTTTCGGCACAGGACATCCTCATTACGCTCAAGTGGCACATTCTGAGTGCAGAATTCTGTGGCCGAAACTTTCGGCGACTTGGAGCTCTTGTTGAAAGTTTATTTAAATTAGTAAATGAGAAATGTACTCGTAGTTGTTGGCCGGAAGTTGTCGCTGTCAGTCGACGACAGCCCGAAAAACAAAAGCATAAATTACACAAAGGCAGCTGGAGGCTCGGGCTCCGAGTCCGGGCGAAAGTCCATTTCGACGGCTTCAAGTCAGTCGAGCACACGGGATAAAGCCGAAAACTTGGCCGAAAGTATTCGACGAGCCTGGCTGAAGTGAAATTATGAAGCACTGCCAAACTTGCTTAAATTGCTAGAAAGAGAGCCAGAAAGCCAGACATCCAGACTGCCAGTCACTCAGTCAGTCACCCAGTCAGACATCCTGGACGTACGTGCCGGTGGCTCTGGGCCTTGGGCCTGGATCCGAATCCGAATCGAAATCAGGATCTCGGCATGGCGGAAAGTTAACCCGGACCATGCTGCCCCTCCCCTCCACTTCGGTCCAATGCCAGCTGGCTTTGTTCAATCAACAACAGGCTGCGTTGCCGGCAGTGTGTTGCTGCCTCCGCCTGTTTGTCTAAGTGAAGTGAAGTGTGCCAAAGATATTGCCGCCCGATATGCGTCCAGGCATTCGGGTTAAGGCCTCGCCCCCTCCCCCTCCCGCTTTTAAATTCAGCCCCTAGTCATACACAAGGCGAAAATGCCAGGCATAATGATCAACAGGTAATCAATACCCAGTTGAAACATTACTGATACTGACTAAAACATTTCTGATTGAATCACACTATTTTACAAGCTTTATACCTTTTGTTAGGAATACTTTAATCAATATAAAATACATTTCGTTGTTATTTTTGGCTCACTGTAAGGCCAAAGAACCTCTTATGCGCAAATGACTGTATCAGTCAATAACCGAATACGGCGAAGAGGGTGCTTTGGCCTGATGGAGCAATAACCGGGCGGGCACACAAGTATTTCACTTGGAACGGCGCTTTGTCTAATGAGCCATCCTGGCGGCAGGATCTGACTTCCTGGCGGCGGAAGAGCACCGGACACACGTGTGCCTTTGATTTGAATGCGACAAAAGAAATTAGTTCAAAGCCAAGGAGATCGGGCTGTTCACGCTTTAAGGATTATGTGGAACAAATATAGTCGGCATCAACTTTGCTTGAAAGTCACACTTACTTTCGACCAAGCTTAAACGCAGCGAAAAACCTATGGAAAAAGTTATCCAGATCAAAAATCCTTTAACTGCGTTTCACATGAGGCGTATTGTCTTTTAGGACGGATATTAAACTACTTAATTGGAATGAATCGTTAGCTTTGGTTGTCAGTTAAATGACCCGATACATTACTAAGTTGTTAAGCACTTTATGAGATAGTTACGAAATAAAGACTTCCAGAAAAATATCGCAAAGATGTATGCGAAAACTAGCTGGTAAGCTAAAAAAATCTATAGTGTTATTAAGTCCTAATCAGATTTTCCACAGAAAAGAAACCATTTTGTGCAAAGCAAATACCGGAAACTAATTTGGTATGCAATAAGGTGAAACTGACGTATAAATAAAAATCAATTCGGTGGCTTGCACCATTGGTTAGGAGGAAAAGCTCCTTTCAAAAGAAAATGGCAGAAATTTGGCAAAAATTAAACTACAGATTTGTAGCAGGAACCACTGAAATCAGAAACTAGAACTATTTAGTCTGCGTATGGCAACTGTGTTGATGATTTCCCAAAAAGTTTTTAATCCAATTATAAGTTATTAGCACCCACTTTTTCCGAGCAGGAAAAGTCCGAAGTGGAAGGCGAAAAGGAAAACAAAAACCACTCACTTGTGGAGCGTTTTTCGAGCGACGTTTTTCCGTGCGAGGGCGGCGCAAAAAACTTGATTCATAGGCGCAATTTTTTCTCCGGTCACCACAGGATTGTAGCCAAGGCTCAACGAGGCGTGGGTCCTTTCGCAATCGAGTCCTTTCGATGGCCTTCGTGGGGGAAGCTGTGCGTTGACGGCAAGTTTCACAAATGATTTCACATTTTTGCATAAATAAATGTCAAGTGTGCGCCGGAGCGTGCGGAGAGTTGCTGACAGTTTTCTAATAAACCCGAGCGGAGAAAGAAAACAGGATAATCAGCGCGCACGACAGGGATAAAGGAACCCGAGCAACAAGTTCTGTGTGTGTGTGTGTGGGGGTCTGCGTGGGTGTGTGTGTGCCCTGCCTCCCTCTCTCTGTGTCTGTGTGTGTGTCCACTTTGGCCTGGCAATAATAGTAACCTTGGCTGCCTGATGCCTGCCATTTCTCAGTGCGAGTGTGCGGTCGCTTTCCCATATGAAAATGACAATTTCCCTTCCCCTCGACCCCCGCCATTCGCCACTCGACTGCCATGGTTATTTTAGGATTTCCGAGCAGGGCTGGCAATTTAATAATGTTTACTCAAGGCGCAGCCTTAGATCATGGCCACCCCTCGAAATAAATAATAATGGAAGGCGGGAAGCGGAGGAGAAAGTGGCCGCGCTGCAGGACTCGTGTGTGCAGCGGGGCATGCCCCACGCCAGCTGCTACCACTCAGCCGGGAAATGGAAATGGAAAATGCCAGGCTTAATAAGCAGCCGTAACATGCAGCACGCCATTGCAGCGGAAAACTGACAATTCCGTCGGTCGACTGCTACGTGTTTCTGTGTCTTCGGCTCGGGACATCGGTATTCCAGCCATCCAGCCATCGCAGCCATCACAGCCATTAGACCCATAATTTATGTTCCTCGGCAGCAAGGGTTCGTCCGAAGTCGCATTATCCCTTTGCCAGCGCAAAGCTCTTATATAAATATCGTTTTAAGCTGCCACTTGCTGCAGCTGCTGCCTAATGAGCGGATTAAAGTGGCCCAATACTCGTAAAGGTCCTCGGCACTCCCCCGTTCTCCGAAATGCTTTTCCGCACTCCGCTTCATTCCGGGAAGAGCTGGGGCTGCAACTCCAAGTAGCAAGTAGCAACGTGAAACAGCACAAAAGGCGTCTTCTGCGAAAACAAAATTGCTCCACGTCCCTGGCAATCAGATTTCAAAATCAAATGGTCCTTGAGTAGTTCCGATGGCTTCGCTTATGCAGAAAGGGATTCGAGTGGAGCGGAGAGTTTTTGGCAATCAGAATTGGAAATCTAATATTCTTGACAATTTTAGACTTTCAAATGGGTTTATCCGGGAGGGGAAATCATAGCTTATAATGCATAAGAGCAATGAGCCAATAAAGAAATGAAGAAGTAAAATATAAACTATACCTATCTCTAGAAATTTTATTCATTAGTAACCTAACTTCTAATAATTTGTAACTTTATATTAAAGAGGTTCAAGTGCTATATTAAAAATACCACAAACGGAAAATCAAAAAGGAAATCAATTTTTGGCAAACCAAAATGCTAAATTTCTCGTAAATTTTATCTTCACTAAAGTTTTATTTCTCGGAAATATTTTTGCGCACAGTGCGTATACGCAATAAGTGCTTTCTCCCATTCCTTTTCAATTTCCTCGCAATATTTGCAGAAAAATGGGAAAGGGCTTTGATTTGCATGCGGGATTCTTTGAGCTGCCTTGTTTGGCAGAGCCTTGTCTGCCCACAGACACAAAACATATTGCCTTCGTGCGTTTATATTGGAAAATATTGATTTACCTGCTATCAAAGACAGCTGCTGCTGCCTCGACTCGCATTTGTGTTTGCACTTGGCTCTGGCCACAATGCCAGGACCTGGGATCCCGCTGCCAGGATACAAACAGTGCTCGATTCCGCCCTTATGCTCCGGCTGCCAGCCATAAACGCAATAATCAATACAGATTGTCGGGGCGCAAAGTGCCAGGATGCCGCAAACGACTCACATTCGCATTCCCATTCGAATTCCCATTCTCATTCAGGTTCTCAGTGGGTCTGCGAGTGTGGCCAAGTCGGCCGGAGGGCTCAACAAGTGCAGCTAAGGCCACATCATTAACATTTGACGCGCACTCAGTGCCAAGGCAACGCGGCTTATAAATACATCTGCGCACAGGTGCGCCACTAGTGTGTCCAAGGTCGCGAGGGCCAGACGGACTTCAGGTGCCTTATTTTCAGCTCCCGGACTTGGATTGTGTTTGTACAAAGCCCGCTCTGAAAGAGCATTCGAATCGTTTCGTAAACCCTTTCTT